GTTCATGAACTGCTCGTACAAAATGTGGTGGAGCCTTATCACATCTTCTAATAATTGTGCCAGACTGTATCGAAGAAAATCTAAATAAATTTCATTGGTGAGGTGAGCTGGAAAAAAGTTCCGTCCAATAAGCATACCATTTACCACGCCAGCCCAAACATTTAATGGAAATCTATGTTGAAAGTTGAAAATGAGTTCTATTTAATCATGCGGATTTTCTACTGCCCAAACATAATTGTTGTGGAAATTGTGCACTCCATTTCGTGTAAATGTGGCCTCGTCTGCACACAAAATTAATTTCGTAAAATCTTCATTTCTGACGAACTGTTCTAAAAGCCACTGACAAAATGCAACTCTTCTAGGATGATCTTCAGGTTGTTACGCTTGTACCCGTTGATAATGATACGGATAATACTGTTCTTGTCGTATTGACTTCCACACTTTACTACGAGAAACTTCAACTTGAGCTGCTATGGCTCTAGTACAGGATGTTCGGTCGTCTTCGACCATTTCTGAAATGTCTTCCACAATCTGTAACATTTCAGGATAAACAGGTCTTTCAGCGTGATCTCCTTGTTGTTCTTTTAAATATCCTGTGTCACGAAGTCTAATAAATAAATTTACAAACATCCGTGGGACCGGATGATTTCTTTCCGCATACAACCTGCATGATATGGCTGCATTTTCTTGGCGCTCTCTGTATGTTAGTATTTTGTCCACTAGTTCATTGTTTTCGTAAACATGGGCCACTTTTTCGCACAAAATAATCAGACAAATGAACGTATGCCCACTATCAGAAGACTAATTAATACAACTGATCGAACCAAGGACTCGTAGTGAAAACCACGCAATAACAAAAAGTTTGCGAAACTTAGATAAACAGTAAGACTAGTAAACAAAAAAGGCTAAGATTTTACTGGGCAGTGATTGAGAATATCAAAAAATCTGTGCAATAACTTCCTTATTCTTTTGAATTTTGTATCTTTAACTATTTCTTTTATTATGCAACTTTTATATAGGTGATTTTTGGTATATCAACTCCTTTTGACGAGTTCAACAAGCAGTTAAAATAAATAACACCCTGTATATGGAGTGACCATAACTTCATGAAATAGCAAACATGTATTTTTTTAAATAGAATACTCTAGATTTTATTGCATATTTGGATAAAGCTTCTAAAAACAATAAGTTTGATATCGTATAACTCATTGTTACGATTTTCCATTGTTTAGATATTCAGTGAAAAGTATGAAAAAACGCCCAACTTTGACGGCTCACAGCACCGACATTTTTGAAGATATTTAGATAAATTTTAGTTTGTAAATATTTTTAAATTATCGGTTTTAAGCTGATATACAGAGTATCTCAAAATTCGAAATGTACCATTTCTCATAAATTTCAAATGGAACACCCCGTATATTACTACATCATTAAATAGCTTTCCTTAGGAATTTCTTTTTGATATAGGGTATAAACCACTTTTTTGTTCCGGGTTCTTTTTTTATTTTGTTAACAAATAACTAGTTACCTTTTGGAAAGTATCCGTAACTGGATCATCAGAACAAGAACCGTCATCTCCACCAAACCTAGCTCCAAGTTGTGGTAGTTCTTGTTGATTAACAATGCTATACTGCGCTGGTATGATGAAGTTCTGGTTGGGTATCTTCATGGTGGCCACCACAGCGTCTCTAACAGAGCCTACAGCGTTCCTAAAATGAAGAAGAGGTGCCCTTTGATGCCCTAAAGCAGAGCGAGCTACTGTGCCTACGTTTTCTAGGGTTTTGGTCATGTCTAGCTTTGTGTTGGGGTCTGATATCAGTCTGGAATGGTGCATAAACTTTATTAAATTTTCACTTCAACATTTATGGTCTCATTTGGCGGCCATTAGCATGGAGATTGACAAATGAGGGTTTACAAGAAATATTCGTATATCAACATGTGTTCGGAAATTACCTATCTCCATGATAACAGAGAGTGCCAAAATCATATTGATTCTGCTTGAAAAAACAAAAAGTTGCATTCAAAAATAAAATGAATGTGTTCCGCATTTTGGGTGGAGAAAAAATACTTGATACCTTTGAAACTCTTTCTCATCTGCCACAATCTGTCTCTTCTGTCTCGTGAGCCCATGCTTCTTTCCAATATCATTGACCATTTTTTCAGCAACATAGTCGATCATCATCAGATCTTCATCTCTTTTGACGAACCTTTTCAAATCAGCCACAGCTTCCTCCTCTGTTTTCAACATCTTGTCCAAATCCAACGATCTCTCGAATCTTAAGGAATCTGGAAACCAGCGATTTTTGCGCACGTAGATTAAATTCCCCAGCAAATTATCTAGATTTTCGAAAATGCAGTTATTGAAGTAGTGTTTAGAGTGTTACAAATTATAAACGCTTTTTCAACAGCCTGACTGGAGGAGTATTCTGAATGCTACGAGTACAACGTTATCAGTTTCTTTTTGGTCAAAAAATGCATTTTTTATGGATTTCTTTTTCTTCAACTCCCTAACAAAAAGTTCAACTCAATTTGCTGGAAAATGAGCTTTCAAGAAATTCAAAGATTTTTCGAAGGGAAAAAGTAACACAAATAAAAGTAATCAACCTCATAAATCTTCCATAAAAGAGGAAGATTCGCATAAAATTGAGATGTAATCAAGTTACGACTGAAGAAAAAATGCTCAATAAAATGCACAAAAATGCATTTTTCGACAAAAAATTTATAACATTTTGAAATAATTAAATGAAAAGCATTTAGAATACTGCTCCAAAGAGGCAGTTGAAAAAAGGGACACGCGGTATACTGGGTGTGAGAAAATAACAAAAACATTTTATATATGTATAGGGCCGAAAATGCTTTATTACCAAAATATTGGATTGTGCAGGGAAGGTTTTCGAAAATATACTTATAAGTATATTGTGTATTTGTATACACATTGTTTCTTAAATCTCTTACATCAGTGGTTTTTGTGCTGTCAAGTTTTAAAAAGTTAAAAAATTCTTTTTTATCAAGCACTACATCAATTTGTGTATCATTGTAAAAAATAGTAAAGCTTCAAGATGCACTTTTCAAGCAGAATCGAAACGTCACTTAACCCGAGGTGGCCCATGGTGACACAACTCTTTTTACTTCCCACGCCTACTGGCGTGGAAGTATTGTAATCGCAAAAAGTATCTATTATTATATTATGAGATGTACATCGCGAAGAAAAGTATCACTCATATTTACATCTGTCTATCTGAAAAGTACAAAGATGAAAAAGATTTGTAGTTTTTGAAAATCGGTCCAGTGGCGGCGCAAAAAAATGCCAGAGGGAAAACATAAGCATTGCTCAAACTTCATTTTTAGACATTTCAGAAGATCCTGATCATTTTTGAAAATTCCTTTAGGTGTAAAAAATGGGTGGTGGGACGTTGTACAGGTATGGGGGTGGAGGAGAATGTTTCGCATTTTTTGAAGATGATATATTATCAACTTATAAAAGCAGGTAGCAGACGGCGTGATGACGCAATATGCACGTACGAGGTGGACGCGATATTACTTGCAAATATATGTATATACAAGCATTATGCTTGTAAAACTTAATGAGGTTACTTGATTTCATGAGGTAATATTATATAGTATAATATATAAAGTATATAAATACGTATCAAGAGCTATTATAATCAGTTACCAAACATTATTCACCGTTTTATACCATAGCTCCAAAGAAATGAGGCTAAAATGTAAGGATCTGTTCATTGCTGTAATTTGAGAATTTTTTTCTTTAAAATGTCCAAATAGTGTACTAATGGTTCTGACAAAGTCTACGTCAATCTACTTGACTCCATTTTATTTCCATATATTTATACGTTGTGTCTAACCTAAAATTATCCTGAGATCATACTGTAACACCATGTAAACTCTTAAATACCCTCTAAAAAATCAATTCGATCATTGTATAAAATAACTTAGGTACCTGCGTTAATGTTCTTCCTATCATCTTCATTGCCAGACCTTTCGTTCTGTAAAATTTCCAAGGACTGTACCTGAAAAGTTGCAGGACAAATAGAGAAAGTGCAGAGATTTTGCGCCGAAATAGTACAGAAAGTTGCTATAAAAATGACTAAAACTGTCCTTTTAGCAATATACTGAACGTTGCGAACTTTTAGACTACTATGCGATGTCTGGTTGAGGAAAGTTAATAAAAATTCTTCAAATGAAGTCATCAACGTATTCAGCGGCAAAACACTTTTTTGACAATTTCAATATACAGGGTTCTCAAAGATGAGACTTACATGTACACCTATACCAAAGCTTTAAAATAACCGAGATATTAAGTTCCAAAAAGCAATAAATGAACTCACACAATCCCCTCCTGCATCAAAATGAATGACGTTGTACTAAGGCTATGTGTGAGTCATTATCCAAATCAGGCATCGCGCGGTGTCTAGGTTAACCTAGTTTATAAGCAAACCGCATTTAATAAACCAAAATTGGCACATTCCCAGAGCAATAATGTAGTCATATTGATACTTCGCGAGTGTACTGAGAACGTCGCCGTCACCCTCGATGTTTCTTTCCATCACAGCTGCACATGTTTGTTTATATCGTGCAAAAGTCCTCTGGTTGAACAGTTGAGGGCCTAGACAGCCCAAAACGTTGCAAATTTAGGAAGAGGTAAACAAACTTGTGTTTTTGAATTGCTCATCAAGTCAATAGTGTTATCTTTAATTTCTTTCTATTGCAAACGCAGTTAACTCTGAAAAGGAAAGTTCCAACTTTCAGGACTATTAGAACAAAAAGAGCATTTTTAAAACTTATTGGGACAAAGAAGCTTCTTAGGATAATCTGAGAAATTAAGTTGTAATTTTTTTATTCCACTTACCTATTTTCTTGATAACAAATTGTGCCAAATAGTGAGTTTCTTGGTCTAAAAAGCAACTCAGGATATTAGGGTGGTTAAATAAAAAGTACTTTTGATTTTGATACTTTATTCATATAAAATTTTACAAAATCGGGATAAATATGATAATATATAAATAAATAAATACTACACCTACTAGTTGACACAATAAGTTAACATGAAATACACATATTGCATGGTCATATATACGTTAAGGGCAAGTAACCACAAGATTAGGTGGAAAACTAAAAGATTCGTTGATAATACACAAGCCATACCTCAAGGGGTAATTCTAAGAAGAAAATTTCATACATATATAGGACTGGTAAAAGCTCATTACATAGTGTCAAACGTTTTTTGAAAAGTCGTTTTTCTTTTCGCAACAATAGTAACTCCTTAACAAATTTTTCTTAAATCCGCTAATAATGGAAATTTAACTTAAATTAAGTAGGAAAATTAAAGCCCAAAATGGTCGTGCCCAGTTGGATCACCAGAATTAAGCCCATTATATTTTTTCCTGAAAGTGGTTACATTGTGCGTCTTTCCTATTCGTTTTAGAATTCTTTTCTTCTTGTTTCTTTTTACATCTATAGACGAAAACGACTGAAGCATTATTGGAATTCAAACAATAAAAAGATTAATGGATAAGTTTGACTTAAAAACTTTCATTCTTAGAATTACCTGAGAAATCACTACTTGATCTTCAATAAAGAAAATCTATACTTATTTTGTAAAAAATGCTTGTATCGAGATAATGTATAGGTATAGATGCAAGGGTGGGATCTTATTACAGTCTGTCCAAAAAACTATGATGTTTCTATTTCTGATGAGAGAATCGTGAATTTGATGCAGTACGAAATATACTGAGTGACATTAGAAGTGTTACACTCAGAAAAAAAATTCTTCAATTTGTTGTTTTGGCAACATGACTACATTTAAAGCATGCTGTGGCAACAATGTCAACTTGTTATCTTTGTTTTTGTTTACCTTTGTTAACACATTGACTGCGAACTGGGATGACGATACCCACCTCAGAAACTGAAATACTTTTTTTGGAAGCCGGCAGAGAGCGTCGAAAGACGCCGTTCGCCTCCCACCACAGGAGCGGAGGGCGTCTTTTGACGCTCTTCGCACTGAACGTGTTAAAAGGCCATCTCTTAGTTTTTGTGAAGAACGCAGTTTCTGAAAGCTGAGTAGTACAGATATTTTCAGTTATTGCATTTCATAACAAAATGCCTCGAGTTCGAAGTTGTCTAAATTATCACCATTTTAGCGACTTTGAAAGTGGTAGAATTATTTCCTATCGAGATGTTGGTTTGTCCTATCGCCGTGTTAATTGTACTGTAATGACGGTAATACGTGTGTGTCGTGTGTGGATAGAAAAAGGTAGAGGAACACGAAAAAGCTCAACTGGTCCACCGAGGCGTACCACAGAGTGTCAAGATAGGCGCTTCAGACAACTAGCCCTACGAGACCGTTTTGCTACTACGCGTCAGATCGCTGACCAATGATTTGGAGAAGAAGGTGGACCTGTTACTTGCGTACATTTTATCGCCGCATCCAAGCCTTTGGACTTTTTTCATACCGTCCGTGGTTAGTGCTTCCTCTGACTGCGGTCCACTGTCGTCAGCATTTGAACTGGAGCAGAAAACGGCAACATTGGAAGGCAGAATGGCATAATCTCATCTTAAGCGACGAATCGCGATTCTGTCTGGGTACGCACGATGGTCGTGGAAGAGTAAGACGCCGCCATGGAGAACGGCGTGATATTGGATTTGCTGTTGAGAGGCATGTACACAGAACTGTTGGAGTAATTGTTTGGGGGCCTGTTACCTATGGTAGTTGATCAGGCCTTCTTTTTGTTCAAGGCAATATTGACTGCTGTGCGCTATGTTGATGATGTCCTAGAAACCAACGCACGCCCCCATATTGCTCGTCGTACTACGGACTTTTTTCAAGAAGCCGGCGTTAATGTTTTGCCGTGGATTTAAATCCCATTGAACATATGTGAGATATGATCGGGAGGAGACTATCCACTTTGCACCATCCGCCACAGACTCTGCCACAGCTAATCCACGAAGTTCGAGTTGCTTGGAATGAGGTGCCACAGCCAAATACCGACCATCTCATTTTGTCTATGCCTAGACGTATCCAGGAGTGTATTCAGCTGCGGGGTCGCCCAACACATTATTAATTTTTTTTCTTATTACTTGTTAATAAAATTTCTTCAGAATGTTATAATTTCATTCTTGATATAAGACTAGCTTATTGTTAAAAAATCCATTTGGAGAAATTATTTTTTCTAGGTGTAACACTTCTAATGTCGCTGAGAATATTAAGGCATGAAGAGGGAAACCTGACGTTTCTACTATTATATGACTATGCAATTTGATTTTAATATAAACTGTCATTATTTTTGTTCTTAACTTACGTCCGCAGACTCATTCGATCCTTCATCACTACTCTGTCTGTAACTTGGACCATACTCCCACTCCCAGGACTCCCCAGACACTTCTTGAATCTCAGGCACCGGGAACTGATCACTATAATGATGAGCATAAGCAGGGTACTGCTGGTATTGAGGCACATCAGTGTACTGCTGCTTATCGTAACCTCCTTTTAGTGAGTTCCCTTTCAATTTCGGTTTGAGAGAATCGAGGAGTTTGTCGTGGTTTGACTTTATGTTGTCGATGATTTTGCTGAGGATTCTTTTGTTGTCTTCGATCATGTTGGTGATTTTCGTTTTGTCTGCGTCGTTATTGTAAGTGTTGGTGTTATCATAGTAAGGGTCATTGGGGCGTAGGAAGGATCCGACCTGAAAAATAATAGAGTTCGAAGGTCTTAGCATGCTAATTTAAAAAAATGTTGAGACTACAAGAATAAGGTGAAAAGTTCTCAGCCTAAAACAGAGATGGCGGTCCAATTAGCAGGAATTTATAATTCTTGGATAGGTACACATGTTCTTTGTTCATACTCGTATGACGCTTATGTTGGAATGTTGGAGGGGACAACAGATATACATTACAAATTGTATTTTTATGGACAGGGCATAGTGATTAAGCGTGATAGTGCAGCAATGTTTACATCTAGTGATACTTGCGCATCTTTGAAGTATACTGGGTGTTTCAAATTCGACCCCACGATCTAACTAACAGGATGCCGCGTAGAAAGTTTTGAAAATCTGAGAGAGACGGAAAAAAATGAATTTTTTCAAAATAGTTTTAATATTTTAATGGCTTTGTTTGTAGTAGGATTTCAAATTAAATTGCACATTAGTAGCTGTTTGTTTTCTTCTACAAGATGGTATAATTAGAATTTCAATAAGACGTTTCGTCTATGGTCCTCTAGCATATTTTTGCATAAATGACAATATAATTTTTGATAAAAAATATACCTATAATACGTCCTACATCGACATTGCCAGACCTTAATTATTTGAAAAAAAAAACAGAATTTCATAGGTAGGGCTTCAAATTGTCAGATAGTCGTTTCTTTCATAGGTATATCAGATTAGTAGACTTCCATGACAAACTTTGTTTTTTCATATGGACGCTATACTGGAATTTTGTACATTTAAATGGAGTTTTCAGTCCTAAATTCAGTGATATGTACCTATTTCTTTATTTGGCCATGAATTTGTTGTTTAAATGAAAATTATAAGGAAATAAAAAGGCATTGCCAATTTATGAGCAGGGAGCATATGACAGTTTTGAAGACCTCAAATTGAACATACCAACAGAGTTTGGAAGACTGGGAAGAAGGGAGAAAAACCGAGTAGTGAACAATGTGTAAGGAAGAGTCGGGCTTTGCCTATAAAACAACGGGCAACGTTTTGAACATCTGCTATGATTTACCTCTGTTTATTTATGATTATTGTTGTCACCACCCATAAAATTTTCATTTTGTGTTCAGGTTTCACCAGACCTTTTTATTTAAATTTATTTTTTATTTAAAATACGTCGTAGAGTATAGGAGTGAAAAATTCATTTAAATGCAGACAATTTCAATATAGTGTCCATATGGAGAAACAAACTTCGAAAGAAGAAACCTTGAATTGAAAATTTGACTACGCCATCTCCTAGAGGAGAAAATGTGGCAATGACAACTTGGAATCTGTTTCAAAGTCGCATCTCAAATAAAATCAGGAAAAAATAAAAATCATTTTGTGATAAATCTGGTATACGAAACAAATGACTATCTGATAATTTCAAGGCCTACCTAGGAACGTCCATCTGTAAACAACTAAGGTTTGATCAACGTGTGTGACAGGTTATACATTTTTGGAATCAGAATTAAAAACTCTATTCATCTGTGCCAAAATCCAATATGGCTTCCATTAGAAAAAATAAAGTTTTTTTATAATTAATTACCATTTACGACGTGGCGATGTTAATATGCAATATATTTTTAAATCCCACCACAATTAATGTCAGAAAAAACTAAAACGATTTTGGAAAAATTCTGTTTTTTTCTGTCTCTCTCCAGGAGTACTTTGAAATCTGAGACTTCCTCAGCGGCATAAATACGCAATTCTGCTCCCATTTAAGCGACTTCGTATCTCTTCCCATTTCCGAGATCCCGATGCTGAGGGTCGAATTTGAAACACCCGATATAGACTTACCATTTGGTTGCCCTCATCAATTCCTTTCCTTATTTCCAAATCTGGAACGTCAATGTCTTCCATACCCTGGATGCCGTCTGCATTTCGACCAATCACTGTTGATTGACTTTGAATCACAGAAGAAGTCGGGAATAGTTGTGATGTTACGGGTCGGACGATATCCAGTGACCTACGAGCAAGAATGGTACATTACATACATATACTAAGTGACATATAAATCCGAACACCCAGTTTAAATGGTTTTATTTTAATAAAAGTTGGTGAATGTATTTATCTTACTGTAAATAACAAGTGAAAAAATGTTCAGCCTTATCAGTTGGATATTCCGGTTTTTATACTGCTTTTTTTTAATTCACTAACGCTCTAAAAATGAATATTTCAGCCGCAGTAAAGAATCAACGTTGGCGGATTTTGGTTCTTGACATCCTTTACGATCGGTTACGATGCCTAGAGTACGGAGACCTGTACGATTTCGTCAACTTAGTGAGTTTGATAGGGGCCGTATAGTGGGACTTCGGGAAGCTGGACTTTCTTTTCGAGCAATTGCAGTTAGAGTGCAAAGAAGTGTAGACACTGTGGTTAGGTGTTGTCAGGCATGGCTTCGAGAAGGCCGTACGCAAAGAGCAAGGGGCACTGGACGCCGCCGTAGAACAACAGACCGTGAAGATCGCCGCCTAAGATTATTGGCCTTAAGGGACCGTTTCTCCACTACCAGGTCCATTGCAAATGAATGGTTTGCAGAACACGGAAGACCTATTGGCATACGAAGTTTTTACCGACGAATGAGAAGTTTTGGCTTGTTTTCATACCGGCCACACTTGGTCCTCCCTTTAACTCGAGAACACCGACGTAATCGCCTTGAGTGGTGCAGACAACGGTCACTCTGGGATCAGGAATGGAACAGTATTGTCTTTAGTGACGAGTCTCGATTTTGTTTAGGCATACACGATGGTCGTGTCAGGGTTAGAAGGCGACGTGGTGAAAGGAGGAATCCACAGTTTTTTGTTGAAAGACATGTTCATCACACTGTTGGAGTTATGGTTTGGGGTGCTATAGCTTATGGTTCCAGGTCATCTTTAATCTTCATCAGAGGTAACATGGACGCGCAGCGTTATATCCACGAAGTTCTAGAACCACATCTTTTACCCTATCTTGACACCCTGGCAGGTCCAACTTTCCAACAAGATAATGCCCGACCACATGTTGCAAGAGTCACAATAGACTTCTTTCAACATAATGATGTCACATTGTTACCATGGCCACCAAGATCTCCCGACTTATCCCCAATTGAGCACGTGTGGGATATGATGGGTAGGAGATTGCTCAATTTGCAACGTCCTCCTCAGACTCTAGAAGCACTTCGAGAGGAGTTGGTGGTTGCCTGGAATTAGATACCACAGGAGGACATTGATCACCTGATCAGAAGCATGCCTAGGCGCGTTGGAGAATGCGTAGCACATCAGGGTGCATCCACACATTATTAAAGGTCAAAGGGCTTTAAAGCAGTGCAATCATTTTGAAATTTTTATCATTTACTTATTATGCTTCATTAAGTACTTATACAAAATTTTATTGAAATAAAACCATTTAAACTGGGTGTTCGGATTTATATGTCACTTAGTATATCTTGAGAAGTACATGACTACACAGACCCACAGCCATTTTGGTGCCGAAGAAGTAAAACCTGAATTTGAATATTTACCGCTGGTTTTCGTGGCTGCTCTGGTTTTTGAGATATCAATAATTTAGTATTTGAAAAAGTGCGAAATGTGCCATGTGCAACACGGAAAAACCATACAAATAATCGAGAATTTTAATATTGCTCAAATTCCTAGATATCCATACATCAACAAGCAAAGCACTTGAAGGGGTATTGTTATTGTAAGCCTTTTAATTGCGTATCGTTGACTTATTCAATTCAGTCAATGATGTTTATTAAATGATGAATTATCTTTTGACAATTGAAGAGCGAGGGTGGATTCATCTAGGGTAGAGGGACATGTCTCGCAATTCAAGTCCAGTAAGGTAATTTTTATAGCAAGATACATGATGTACCCAACTGCATGCCAATAATATAAGGGGAGATTTTTTAAACAGCCCAAACTTTTGAGATACTGGGTGATAAAGTTTCTTAAGATAAATTAATATCTGTCAGATATCATACTGAAGTTTGGCCTAGACGTACTATGTATCAAGAGGCATTTTTAAGTGTACCAAAATTTACACCAGCTATCACTAGCCATCCAAAGTCCAAAGGCGCGCGCTCATTCAGTTGTCCGGACGCGTACATCGAAAACCTCAGATTTTAAACACCTGCAAACTTTTTTGTGAAGAAGATCAGGAGCCTTTGAAGCGTCAAAAAACAAAGTTTGGCCGATTTTTATTTTTTCATGGTGTTGCTCCTAGCTCTGCCACCACTGGGCCGATTTTCAAATTCTACAAAGGATTTTCGTCTTTGGCATAGTAGTGACCTTGCGTGAAAATTTTATTCAATTCCGACCAGTATTTTCCAAGTTATGGGCAGTATAGGATTAGCGAACAGGCAGATAATCCGATAAATACAGACAGACTGACGGAAATAGTGACATGGTTTTTCGTGATGTACATGTCATATCCAAAAATATAACATCTCATTTTCGAAATTTTTCGCGATTACAATACTTCGTCGCCCAGTGGCGAAATTTGTTAGTTGTTGTTTTGTTAGTCCAATGCACGGTTTTCATCAAAAAAAGAAATGTATTTCTCTGCATGGTGATATTGATATATTAACGTTATTGTTATGATCATGCAGAGAAACGGTTTTTATTTTTTTTAAGGGAGAACCGTGCATCAGATTGAAAAAATCAGGCGACAAATTTAGAAATGTTGACTATTTCAAGAATAATTTTTGTTCCAAGAAAAAACAGTGGCTTACCATCAATGTATGCTGGAAATTGAAAAAGATGTTGTACATCAAACCTTGATACATAGTCAAATTTCATTGAAATATCCAAAGTGGTATTACAGATGTTGATAATAAATGATTTATTTTTGCAAATTTTACCACCCTATGTCTCGCAAGCTAAGACGTCTAGGACATACGCTGATATGAAGTTTTCTTTTTAAGATTGTACAAGAAATTGATATTCAATTAGGAAATAACCTGTATAAAATTTTCTTTAAAAAAATTGCAGACTTGGGAGTCTAAGGTGGCATACCCTCTCCCACCCCTCTGAGCTTGCCACTAGGTCAAACCAAACAAGGGTGGCTTATTGTTCATCTTAAATTCAAGAATTGATCAAACTTTCAATCAGCACTCGGTCTTCTAAGGAGGACTAAAAATATAGTCTCCCCCTTTGTCAAATAGAACCCATGTAGTCAGGGTGACAGAAGTGGTGTCACAGGAAGAGGAACTGTCCATCGAAGTTCCACAGGGTTCAGCATTGGATCCTATATTATTCCTGCCGTACGTCAAAGACTTGCCTTTGTCAAGCATAGATGCTGCTTTCATGCTTTCTGGATGAAGCAATATTGGGAATGAAACATATTAAGGCATGGTTTGACGCGAGTGGACTTCTGCCAAATCAAAGCAAACCTCAACATTTAGTGTTCTCACTACAAAAGCTAGGCGACGTTAATATGAATATACCAACTGTAAAATTCCTGGGGGTGCACGTCGACCCGTATCTTAAAGGCAATGTCCACATAAACCATGTGGCGAAGAGACTTAGGTCTGGACTGTATATGCTAGGACGAGTTCATCTGTGTTGAAAATAGTTTATTATGAATTATTCCATGCCATCATGTCATACGTTTTACTGGTCTGGAGATGATCAGAGCAATCACGTCGTGTCTTTGGCCTTCAGGGTGATCAAGGTGTTGCATTTTAGGGCTGAGAAGTCTCCAGAGTACCAGGCCACACATTTTTTTAATCATTTGCTGAAAAGCATCAGAGACATACCTATCAAAAAATATAAAGAAAAGCATCTCAATGTCTGGTGCTTTCTAAAGAGAGGATTAATTTCTCCGGCATATACTTTATAATCTTATTTTGTTGTTTGATGTTTGTCTCTACTGTGTTCTTTTTATTTTATCTTGAGTCAGATTTGACTTTTGTGTCTTTGACCTGTGCAAGTACATATGAATATTGGCACCAATAAACTTGAATTTAGATTTCAATTAGTTGTAAGTCTTACCCGTGGTTCAAACTCGGCGTGCTTGGAGATACAATAGTTTCATGAGGAACAACCAATGCACCATTCGAAGGTACAAAAGTCTGGTGAGTTTGAACCTGAGGAGTCAGCACGGCGTTCTGGGTTTGAACCACGTTCACATTGGGCACCAATGTTGAGATTCCAGTTGGAATGGTGGTTACGAAGGAGTTGACTGCAGGTAGTAATGATGAATGGACATGTTCGTGTCGATGAAAAAAGGTACGTGCTGATGAAGGAGTTTCCGGGTCCACATTGGTACTGCTGGAAGAGAAAATATACATTTATATATGGTGTCCCCAAAGCAGGTTCTTTTAGTAACATATACAGGGTGTTTCGGTTTATTATTGCATAACTTTAAGATTCGATAGAACTTTTAAAATTGATGCATAAAGTCTATATAAACATGGGTCGAAAAATGCGTGGCTTCCGAAATACAGGGTGTTTAAATTGACTTTCTAAAATAGTTTTTCTTAAATATTTCGAACAATATTTGATGCATAACAGTGAAAATTGGTATACAAGGGTTTTTTGGTACGACAAAACGAACAATGGGCATAGTTTTACTGTAGCCGCTAGAGGGCGCTCTCTACTGTACCTGTAGTGTATTAAAATGACCGAAAACATTTTCTTATTGCAATTTTTTGCTTTCTGAATAAAAAAAATGATTCTTCGCACTTTTCAACATAAAAAAGCTCTCTTGTGAATGTTCGTTATAGTTAGCCGTTTGTGAGATATTTGATGCATAACAGTGAAAATTGGTATACAAGGGTTTTTTGGTACGACAAAACGAACAATGGGCATAGTTTTACTGTAGCCGCTAGAGGGCGCTCTCTACTGTACCTGTAGTGTATTAAAATGACCGAAAACATTTTCTTATTGCAATTTTTTGCTTTCTGAATAAAAAAAATGATTCTTCGCACTTTTCAACATAAAAAAGCTCTCTTGTGAATGTTCGTTATAGTTAGCCATTTTTGAAATATTTCGATTGTTAAGGTTCGATGGATTTTTAATTATTTATGATAAAATAACGTTAAAAAGTCAGTATCTCGATAATTTTTAGAAGTAGGCTGCAAATATTTTTGAAATTGAAAGCAGAATAAGGTTAAACGTCAATTAGTTGACAGTTAGTTTTGTTGTCTGTTGAAACCTGAAAAATTTAGTTTCTTTTACCTGTTTTTTTTTTGTAAGTTTTATAAAAATGCCATTTTTATTCTCCAATCAAGAGTTAGCGGATATTCATTTTGTGTATGGCTTTGTAAATGGAAACGCAGCAGAAGCAGCCAGAGAATACGCACGAAGATTTCCAAACAGACGACATCCAACTCGCTCAGTATTTGTAAGAGTGCATCGCCAAATAATTGAAAATGGTTTTGGAAATCTCCAAAGGGATCAAAACATAAATGTTCGTCAGCGCAGATTTACCCGTATGATTCTGCGTGAGTTTGATAGAGATCCGATCACAAGTGTTAGGAAAGTTTCTGGTGCCTTGGGAATTTCAGCAAGCCATGTTCACCGTGTTCTTAGAAATGACCATAGACGTCCTTACCATTTGCAACCTGTGCAAGGACTACAGCCAGGGGACGGAGAACGAAGAATCATATTTTGTCAGTGGATTCTTGATGGAACTGATAATAATAGGGAGTTTTTAAGTAACGTTTTATGGACCGATGAGTCATGCTTCACTAGACGTGGAGTGGTAAATTTTCATAATCAACATATTTGGTCGCATGAAAATCCGCATGCAGTTCGGGAAAGAAATTTTCAGCATGAATTTAGTGTGAACATGTGGATTGATATCTACCGTAATCGACTATCTGGACCCTATCTTTTGCCTGCAAGGTTAAATGCTGCGACCTCCTTGGAATTTTTAAAGGCTGAACATGGAAATATGTGGGATGATGTTATGCTAGATTTAAGAAGATTGGCCTGGTTCCATCTTGATGGTTGTCCAGCTCATTATTCGAGAATAGTTAGAAACTGGCTGGACGAAAATTATCCAGAAAGATGGATCGGCCGTGGAGGACCAGTCGCCTGGCCTCCACGATCCCCTGACCTAAATCCATTAGATTTCTTTGTGTGGGGATTTCTAAAAGAAAAAGTGTACCAGACTCCCGTAACCACAAGAGATATGCTAATAGACAGAATCAGGAATGCATGTGATGAAATAAGGCCTTATTTGAATAATGCTATACCACGTTCGATCATTCTTAGATGTGAATTGTGTATTGAACAATTGGGTTTACATTTCGAGCAACTACTTTAGATTTTGTATGTTTGTCCTAACTATCCAATAGAATTTTAGTTGTAAATAATTAATTTAATTTGTTAAAAATAATATGGAATATTAAACAAATTAATATTCTGTTTTTTTGTGTTTATTTGGAGTTAGGAATTATTGCTGTGTTTAAAAACATAATCTAAACGATCATCTTAATTACTTGTAATGCCCAAATCGAAAATGTAAAAAAAATATTATTTTCCCATAAATAATTAAAAATGCATCGAACCTTAAAAATCGAAATATCTCACAAACGGCTAACTATAACGAAAACTCACAGGAGAGCTTTTTATGTTGAAAAGTGTGAAGAATCATTTTTTTTATTCAAAAAGCAAAAGATTGCACAAAGAAAATTTTAATACACTACAGGTACAGTAGAGAGCGCCCTCTAGCGGCTACAGTAAAACTATGCCCATGGTTCATTTTGTCGTACCAAAAAACCCTTGTATACCAATTTTCACTGTTATACATCAAATATTGTTCGAAATATTTAAAAAAAAACTATCTTAGAAAGTAAATTTAAACACCCTGTATTTCGGAAGCAACGCATTTTTCGACCCATGTTTATATAGATTTTATGCATTAATTTTAAAAGTTCTATCGAATCTTAAAGTTATGCAACAATAAACTGAAACACCCTGTATAACAAAGCTTTAAGATAACCTGTGATGTTTTGTACTAAGACTATGTGAATCAGTCCCCAATTAGATATGGCGTGGTGCCTAGGTTAAGCTAGTCCAAAAAGAAACAGAATTTGTAAAACCGAAATTGGTACATTCCTAGAGCAATAACGTCACTTTTGTTTTCTAGGATGTTAGATCTGTTTCGCGAAGTTTGCAGAGCTCTTGCTGTTTTTAGGTGATCTTCACATGTTATTAGGGTAAGAAAGATACTTTGTAGTGGTAGATTAAGGTTATACAAGTTTTGTGAGTTTTGAGTGAATAAAACGTGAACAGGCGAGACGTATAGATACTGAGTGGCAAGAAAAAGGAAACACCTACGTATGTTTATCGGATTTTAATAATTTTTGACATATATGTTCAGTGTCCCTTACTAGTTAGATGATTAAATTTTCAGCTTGATTCATCAACTAGCTGCAGAAGTTGGTTCAATAATGTGTTGAAGATTCACGATTTCCTATACACTCATTGACACGCCTGGGTATCGTGCTGATAAGGTGGTCGATATCCTGTTGAGGTTTCTCATTCCAGGCTACTGCATCTTTGTGAGTAAGATCTGCTAAAGTCTGTGGAGGGTGTTGCAAATTCAAGAGCCTGCGACCTATCATGTCCCAGGCATGTTCAGTTGGAGATAGGTCAGGCGATCGTGGTGGCCAAGGTAGACAGTTGATGCGACGTTGATTCATGAAGATTAACCATGCTCTGGCAACATGCAGTCTGGTATTGTCTTGCTGAAAAGTCGGGTTTTGGATGGTTCTTCGGTATGGAATAAGATGAGGCTCCACTACTTCCTGAATATCGCGTCAGGCTGTCATATTGCCTCTGATGAAAATTATTGATGATCTGCTGCCATAAGCAATAGCACCCCATACCATAACTCCCACAGTGTGGTGAACGTGACGCTCTCTGTCAAATTGTGGGTCACGTCTTTCACCACGTCGCCTTCTCACTTTTGCCCGACCATCGTGCATCCCCACACAGAAGCGGGATTCATCACTAAAGGCCACTTGATTCCACTCCCGGTCCCATAGAATTCTTTCTCTACACCAGAGTAAACGGTTACGCCGATGTTCAGCTGTGAGAGGTAGCACCCAATGTGGACGATAAGAAAAAAGGCCAAACTGTCGTATTCGGAGATATACCGTACGCTTACCAACCATCCTTTCATGCTCTCTTCAATCCACTGATTAGCGATGCCTTGAGTACTACTGAGTCAGTTTTTCAGAGCCAGAAGTCTTAACCGGCGGTCTTGTCACTCTGTGGTCCCTCTGGCATGTCTTCGGCCTTCCTGAGTCCACGCTCGTTCACACTGCAGCATACTGAATAAAGATTTGAACCGACCCCTCTCAAAGTCGCTTAGCTGGAACACCCGGCCAATTCTACGCACTCTAGACATATTGAGCAATCACAAGAAGGCTTCTCAACAAGCTACATGAAATTTAACATTTAACTGACACCGTAAATGTACGGAAACTGAATGCTTCTTTATCACCAAACAATACACGCAGCCACCACAAAACTTAACAGAAAAACCTGACGATTTTATCCTTGTTGTTCATGGCAAGAGAAATCGATACCTATGTAAAAAATTCTTGAATTCTAATAAACATACGTAGGTGTTTACCTTTTTTGTCACTCAGTATATTTCATTGAAACCGTGACAAGAAGAGGCCATACGTAACAGTACTTTCATATCTTTCACGTTTCAGAACCTTTTGGTGCAATAACTTTAACCTAATACAAGAACTTGAATCATGCAGTTAGTGTTAATCTGTTTATAAGCAGGAACTCCATAACGTTTTTCCGCAACGCTGAAGCTAGAATTGACGAAGTTTTAAGTTTCTGTCGTTTTCGATTCAGCCAATAAAACAGGGCCTGCAAATCACGTGTTTGTTGCCACAGATCAGCTGTTTTTTCCGCGTGTTTGCCGCTTTGTTTGGAATTCACATATGTTTTGTCTTGCTTTTTTATTTGGCGTTGCCTCCTATGAGATTGTTTGCTAAATTCAGTCTGATTAATTAATAATGATATGAATTATCACTGCTATTTATAGGCCTAATTTTAAATCGTCTTCTTTGTCGTTCTTGCAATTTTTCCGTCCTAAAAATAATTTATTTCAAGAAACCTCTTACCTGACATCGTTTCCATCAGTTCTAGCTTCTTGTCCTGAAGCGTCACGTGATAAAAATGCGTTTTGATTTTGTACGACATGAATATTAAGCGGAGCACCACCATGAGTATTGACAGGTGCACCGTTATGAATATTTAGGGGAGTACCACTATGAATGTTTTGAGAAAGAGTACCAGCAGACCCATGTTGCTTTTGATGCAGTTTATGTATTAGATGAGCGGTACGTTCTTCAGCAATCTCCACATCATTTTGGTCAACCTTTGGTACCATTTGGTCTTTATTATCGTCTACAGTGTTTTCATCTTCTTCTCCAGATGAAGATCGCAGTCCAAATATAGTGTGTTGGTTATGGACAACAACTCCAGTTGGTTTCAGCCCAAAACCGCTAATAGCTACTGGTTTGGTTACCAGTGCACCTTGATGGAAAGTGTTTTTGTGTAAAAAGGCACCGACTTCTTCCGAATCGTCTATCTGTGAGTTAGGTGTCTCAGCACCAACCAACACGTCATTCTCGGTATCGTCTTCATCGATGTTGGGGTTTGACATGCCTACTTGTGGACTTGATGTTGTTACCGTTTCTGTGCTGGTGCTGCTGAAAAAAGACAGATTGATGTTAAAAACCGAGTGATTCTAATTCGACTCTCACCATTAAATTATGAATTAGTTAAGTGTTAATAAAGTGAAACACAATACAATAAAATGTATGTCAACAGGGAAACATTTAGGTGACAATACAATTTCAGGCTCATGATACATTGATGAAAACATTGGGGTAATCGAATCATCAAATATCTGGGTATATTTGTGAAAAGATAAATAACTTCCCATACTCTGAGTATGTATTCTAAAAAAATTGTGTATAACACCACAATTCTTTCTCATTTTTATATTGTTTATCTATTTTGTTTACAGCAAATGAAAGCTTACAAATACTACAACATAAAGCCATAAGAAACTTTTTAAATACAAAACAAATATGCTAAGATTAAGTCTATGTAAGTCTAACTTCAGTGGTGGAATGTAAAAATACTTAATATTGTATTATTTACTTATTTTCATATTCGAATTAGAAAATTATTCGTTATCAACACATTTAGATAACTTCACAAAATTAAATAGTTATTATCATAACTGTGAAACTAGAGGCAGTATAGATGTAATTGTGGATAAATACAGACGTCTCTTATTATTATTATTAAGTTAAAAAATCACTCTATGAATATTCCAAATGCATAGCGATTTAATTTTATTGGACAAGAATGTAGAATTACAGAAAATTAATTCAAAATGTCTGTAAAAGAGTAATTACACAATACTGATATTGTTGCATTAATGCTAAATAAATCTGCAACAAACAAACAAATAATTGGGATCTCGGAAACGGTAAGAGATATGAAATCGGTTAAACAGGGGAAAAGTTGCACATTTAGGAAACTAAGAAAAAGGGATGGTAAGATTTCGCTATGGATATATCCGAAGATAGACGTACAAAATCGTATTTATTTTATCCTGACTTTACTTGAAGTGGGATTTGAAAATAAATTAGAATAGAATAAAATGGATGTTTATTTAGCTATAGGTAAGATGAACATACAAAATTACATATCTCTTGGATCTTCTAAAATATGAAGTCCTTAGATCTTTAATCCTTCAACAAAAGAGATTTTTCCAACGCCTGGGTTTTGAACATGAGGTGTAGAAGATTACGTATCAATCCTCTTTCAATAATTTTTTTGATTTAATTGCTAATTGAGCAATTCATTTATTTTTGTATATCTCTTGCTGATTCAGAATATTGCACGTGAAATAAATATTATAAATGGTTTTCAGCTACTTACCTGGTAGCATTCTCAGTAACTTGGTCAGCCAGAGGACTTTGCGTTGTGGTTACCTCTTCAGTTTTTGGACTATACCCATTGCTAGAACATATCTCAATATATTCACTGTAGAGATTAATTTTCTATCAAAGTCATTTAATTGCGTACTTTAGATACTAAATTGCATTTGGTCCAACCTTGCAAGCGCATGTATATTTTGAAGCAAGATCTCCTAAATCCGAAATGGTTTTCAAAAGTCCAAGAAAATATCGTTCCTTTTCAAAAAACTATTGAAGCCAGATTTTCTCGCGAAAAAATCTCAAGCATTTACAAATAAGAAACTCTAATTAGCTTATTTTATGGCCAGTAGCGTTTCCTGAAGAACTAGACACAATAATAAGAAATTAAGAAGCAGTTATTCTCACCTAGACTGTTCTTTGTTCCCTGACTCTCCCTCTTCAGACATCTTTGGTGCAACAATACCATGTTCATTCTGAACTGCAGGTTTTGGCAAATGCAGAACTTCGTGGATATGTTTATGTCTGTCTTCACCAAGTCTTGCAGTGAGTCGAGCCTCTAACCTTTCACGCAGATTATCTAATGGAGCTCCAACAATATCTTCATTTTCTTTAACTGAATCGACGTCTGTGGAAGGGGTACTTTGAGGTACTTCATTTGACTGTTCTGCGTCTCCATTTTCACCATTCTCCGTTACAGCTTCTCTAGAAGATGAAGATTTTACAACTAGTCCATTTTGAGTGACACTATTGCTCCTTATTGATGCAGTTATTGAAGGGTCAGTTACTCCAATCGCTACTGAGGTTACTATTTGTGCATTTTTACCATGGACTGGCTCATCATCACCTTCACCGAGCTCCGTTTCAGCTTTTCTTGAAGATGAAGGTTCTACAATATCTTCGTTTTGAGAATCTGAAGTTGCTGATTGTGTCACACTTTGCTCATCATCACCTTCGGCATTCTCACTTTCAGCCTCTTTTGGAGATGTAAATTCTCTCATTCCTTGCTCTTGAGAATCTGTTTTAGTAACTGGACTTGCAGCTTGTAACGCGACTTGATCGTCTTGTCCATCCCTTCTTATCATTACCTGGTCGTTACGAGCGAATCTTTGTAGATTCCTGTAATGTCAGAGAAAATGTATAGAAATCTGGAAATTGTCATAGCAGTATTTTTGTATTTGTTGAGAGCACTAGAAACAATTGCTGGAGATATTTTGATAGGTAAATTGAAGGTATATGCTACATCAGGAAGCATTTTAGACTGGTATGAAAATTATTTGTCTTAAAGGATGCAAAGTTACAAAAGTTCATAACACTATTTCATCAAAAATTGAAAATACTTTAGGTGTGCCACAAAGATCACTTCTTTTTATTTTGTACATAAACGATTTACCTGCAACAGTAAAAAAATGCAAAACATGCAAATTTTCGCCGATGACACATGATTTTGATAAGTACTCAAAATATCCAAACTGGTATCTCTTGTATGAATGAAGACTTGAATCTTGTTTCAGAATGGTTAGCATTTAACAAACTCAGATTAAATACAAGTAAAACGAAATCTATGTTAATCAAAAGAAAAAACAGTGTATAAATGTTCAACTAAATGTTGATGGTTAAAGTTTGATATTCATTATGAAAAAACTATTAGCAGGGTTAGCAGTAAAGCGGGATATTTATCAAGAGTTTATGGAGGTCTGAGTTCGTATAGCAGAAAAATTATCTATAATACTATCATTCTTCTAAATTTCTTGTACTCTTCGATATTTATATTTATATTTAGCTAATAATTTCATTTTTTAAAGACCGCAAATTTTACAAAACAAGTGCATGAGAATAAGACTGAATAAAGATAAATATACTTCAATTACACAAATGTTTGGAAAATTAAAATGTAAAACAATAATATATTTCCAGCATGTCTAATTAACTTAATCAAATACCGACCACCATTTGCATAATACATGAAACAAAGATGACTTCTATTTACTATTCGTACTATTCGTCATTTGTTTGGCTGGGCGATCCGTAGGACCTTTGCGCATTAGTCACTGTCTAATGTACGTTAGTCGAATCTGTCAGCCCAGAAACCAGATAATGTCAAGGAAAAAGAGAAAGGGAGAGAGAAGAAAAAAGGAGAACAGCAAAGAAAAACAGAAGTGTTTATTTTAAGAGGAAACACCTAGGCTTTTTGACTTGGTACACGGATTAATTTTCAGGTGGACTAAACAAATTTTGATTCGGTTTTGTTAGAGTGTATTAAAATTTCGCGCAAATTTTTGATTACAGTGCGAGCCGTGGCCTTGAATACTTCCATTTACTGCCCAAAAGGTATATATGCTTCAAATCTGTATTCTATCAAGGGTTGATTGAATATAATAAATTAGATACAGAGATAGAAGACCAGAAAACTTTGACAAAATTGAGAAATTACTTATTAAATCTACAATAATTAGGTATAGCTTGCGCCGCATTTGTCTTGAATTTACTAATTATTCTGTTTATGTAGCCAAACGTGCTAAATAAATCGTTTTACTACTACTACAGACAGAATAATGTTAAAAATCGAGATCGGCTGTATGTGAGAATATACAGAGTGTTTGGTATATGAACCGAGTAAATTTTTTGGGTAATCTCTAAGGGCTACGGTTACCGAGATTTTTTTCGTTTTTATGCTGAATTCCCAGAAATGGCACATAAATATCCAAAGTCGTAAAATTCTGCGGAGTAAATGAAAAATTTGAAATTCAAAATTCTATTACAGAAAAACTATATTCAATACTTAGTTTTATTAATAAAAAATTGGTGGTTTGATACCACGTTGTAGAAATAATTTGTAATACGGTCAAAATTTAAAAAAAAACAAGCTCGTTAGATCAATTATTTTTTAAGCTTTTCACGATTTTATCAGCTTCGAACTATTTTCGAAATGGAATAGAATGAAGGTAGCAATTGCAAATCAATAAAAAGGTGGGCTTAGGAATACCTCTTATGTAAGTTGATTTGAAGCTAATGGCGTTTAACGTTCTTGAAATAAAATAAAAAATTTTTTTCTGATAAGAAATGAACCGATCTAACACAAGATAAACGTGGTTGGGTTGTGTAATGCATGTTTAGTCATGGTAAATATATGGTATGTACAAACGGTCTCAAAAAATGGCTGATGACTTTCCAGAACATTTTAAATTTCTTGAAACATAGCTTTATTTATAAGAGTTCTGTGATTTATTGAGCCGTATTCATAAGACGACGCATATCCTCGAAAGCATAACGTGAACGTATGTTTTGCCTCGGAGAAAAAGGTAGAAGTATAAGCATATCATTCTTTCCATACTCATAATGATCACCTTATACTCTTGATTATACCCTCCGAGAAGAAGCAAAGGGTTCACTGGTCTTCGTATCTGGAGCGACATGTCTCAACTTTATTGAGCTTGTAGTGGACGAACAACCTCGTTCACTCACCATGGCTTACACAATCAGTTGTACTCTAGAGTCTCGAGCTAGAGGTGACACAGTCCTGTCTTTTCTTTTACTGGGTACAGTTTTTGATCAGACTACTATAGAAAGTAATGGCAACGACTACAGAAAGGACGATGCTCTAAGAAATATTATGGAAAAATACGAATCAACATTCGGTAAGCCCTTAGATATTAAAGGCTTATTGAAAAAAATCAGTAACATGAAATCGAGATTGAAGAAAAAACAGATAAAAAAACTGGCCACAAAGCAATTAAATTGCCACCAAAAAGAAAATTAGCAACAGAAAAATAAGTATTTTACAGAAAGAGTATTATACAAAACTTATGATGTTGACGAAAATAAAAGTTATTATAACTTATAAATACACTTCAACCAGTAAAACTGTTTATGATAATAGTCAAGTTTCGTCTTATTTCATGACCTAGATGGCGAAGTTCGTCATTCTCATGATTTCTTTCATCTTCGTCTGGTACTTGTAACTTAAACTCCGTATCGCCAAATGCTTTCGAAACATTATGGAGTACAATACAAGCAACCATTATTTTGGGTACATTTTCTAACTTTACGCTGCAAATGTACTGTGGGATAGAGAACCGGCGTTTCAGTTGGCCGAAGCAGCGTTCAATTACAACTCTTTCTTGTTTTAAAAGCTTATAATTTAGTTATGCACCCAGAGTAGGATTTCTGAATGGAGTCATAAGGCCAAGACCATATCCGTCATCGCCAAGTAGTAGAGGTAGTAGACATTTATTCACTCCATTATACAGGGTGACTTCGAAGTTGAGTCATTTATTTTAACAGTGAGTAGATCTGATCAAAAGAAATGTTTTTTCCTGTAACATTTTTGTGGTAAAATTAAAGTAACAAAGTTATAGCTCTTTAGAAGTTTGAGTAACGCCGTGTCTCAATAATAATATTATGTGCTCGGGTTTGGCAACAACGTATATAATCCGCCTTATCGGTTCATCGCATCGGAAACAAAAAAGCGAAAGAATTTGAAACGCTGATCACGATGTTCTTATTCAGTCAATGTGTCAGTCGGTAACGCGTGAGTGAATAGTGGTGTTTGCTGCGTGGCTCAAACGAAATAAAAAATGGTACATGTTTATGCGGATCGGTTTCCCAATCGAGTGCAACCAACCCCTCGTGCCTTTGTTAATGTAGTACAACGGGCTCGTGAATCAGGTGACTTAAGACCTCACAGGGGAGGGCATGCCGGTGCTCCAAGACCTCACGATCAAATACAGGTCCGCACTGAAGTACTTGTCGGGAGGATACTTTATAAAACAAGGTAAAATTTTTTTTTATTTTTGTTTTATTTTTACACACATATTTTGGTTTATCTTCCTTCTACAATCATTATCTGAAAATTAATGACTCAACTTCAAAGTCACCCTGTATAAGAACAATAACAACATAGAATGGGTAAATAAATGTTTCAATCCATAGAACAATGTCTGTACATCGATCAGGCGTATGCTGGAATGTATTCCAAAATCAAAAACAAAACTTTTATCAAAGAAGTGTATAATTATGTAGGGGATGATAATTTTTACGGCATATTTGATAGGAATTCAAGAATGTGTTTGTTGTCTTTCTATTGCGCGTATCCATTCTGATCTTTTTAAAATTATGTGTAGATCGAAATTGTTTTAAGTCTTTGGGTATGTGTTCATATAATTTTGGAGCAAAATAGAGAAAAGATCGCTTCATTATTGTTTTATGAGGCTTAGGGACAGTTTTTGCTCGTGATTTATATCGTGTATCCTGGCAATGAGTGATTTTATCGCGCTCACTGACAACTTTGTGATAATGGCTAATAGGATGTAAAGAATAAAGTTGCTTAAAATCAAATAATTTTGTTTCATTTATCAGTTGTGATCTAATCTGTGAATTTCTCTATATTCATCTCGTTACGAAGTTGAATCTGCTACTGATCACACTTAGAATTTTTGAAGGATATGCTTCCTATGCCGAGTATAAGGTGAAGGTTATGTATATCCTTTTACTTATGTGTCACTGCTTTGAAGGATATGCTTGTTTTCAAAAAGAAAAAGCATTTGCTTCAAATTATTATAAATAGCATCTAATGCTGCGTTCACACGGAGGTAAGTTTTCTCGGCTCTTATTTTAGTCTGATCTGAAAAAACCGAACGTTGTGTTCATACGGCGCTATCGTGTCCGACTGTCTTCGGTGCGCGTCTGAACGCACGATTCGTTTTTTTTTGCAGAACAGCGCTCAGTCAGTTTCTGTCTTCTGGATGCGATGGACGCGAACACTATTGCTATATTATATTAGTATTATCGCTGTCAAAGGCGTCAAAAAAGAAGAAGGTGGTGGTTGAACCAACAGTAAATAGACGATCATCACTTGGTGCCTATAAAAGTTTAATGGGCCAGTTGAGAAATGACCCAGAAATTTTTTTCAACTACTTCAGAATGAATATATCTACATTTGCAAAGAGTATAAAAAGATTTGGAAAAGCAATCGAGTCACATCAAAAGATTTGTGAACGGGGATAACTTTTTAACCAAAAACTACTTCACCCCCTTCCACCCCCTTCCACCCTCGGCTCCAAAGGGTCATTCCCTTAAAAATTTTAAATTACAAGGAGTATCGAGTAATAGCTTGTTTGAAAGGTCTTTTGAAGTCCTCTACTTTGACGTTTGATTTTTTTAAATCAGTTTTTGAGAAAATTATTAAAATATTTATTTATCTTAATTTGTTCGGATAGAAAACAAAAACACACGAAAATATCACTTTTTATTATTAAAACGGAAACTACCAACATAAACTGCAATTCGAAAGATTAGACGTGGTAACAACCAAATAACAACCCGAATTTCTTTCCGCATTCTTTTCATCAACACAGATATCCTGGGCGAACTGTATTTACTGTTATACATCTTTAGTTATTTGTTGCTAAGGAAAAGAAAGAATTTATGTCGCTCAAACCGGATCTTACATTGTCGGTCCGGTTCAAGCCGCCAAATCGGATGTCAACTTGAGTAAGATTAGGTTTTTTTGTCGGATCTTAAAACCGAATGCTCGTGTGAACTTTACCATTGAAGTACTGTTGAAACTGACCCGAATCCTGCACAAAATTCGACAAAGTAAGTCACGACCCCGTGTGAACGCCGCGTATACTACGCATCATAGAAATCATTTGTTTCCGGTCAAAATCAGAGAAAACATTTGGTTAGAACAATGATATTTTTTCAAGTTTCTCACGATTTCATCAGATTTAAGTCAGTTACGAGATATTTTCAAAATGACTGCCTCCACTTGATGAGAATAATGTAGTACTTGCAAAATAATAAAGTGTCACCCGCTTTCTGATTGCATACACTTTTTTTCTGATAATTATTATTAAAACGATAGATCTTGAAATAAAATAAAAAAAACTACTTTCTTCTGCAATATCCAAAACTCACCACTACTGTCAACACAATGTATCACAAATATTTTTTTACTTTAAAATTTAAACTAACACCGGTCTATGTGCAACCCAAAGTCACGACGCGAAGACCTTGTGGTGAAGACTCCATTTTAAAGTGCTATATCTCAGCGAAAAAAAAAATATTCAAGCAAAATCGGCATTTGAAAGGTCAGAGCTTGTACTTTGAGATGATTTTAAATTGAATTGTAAAAAAATATTCCGCCGTCCAATGATCTCAAATATCTCTGTTTATATTATTGCACATTTAGGTTAGGATATCTCGGAAACTGGAGCGAATAGAGTGATTTGGATCACAGATTCGGATTAGGGATTAAGGAAAGTATACTCTGGGTTCTGGGTAAACATCTTGTCGGCCTGTTAACAAAGATATGTATTTAAACACAGAATCTTTATACCTTCCTACGTCTCCTTCTGCTTGCATTTGGTGAAATTGCTCAGCGTTATCGGCTTCTTGGGCATCCCCTGAAAACGCTCTTGGTCCGAGATGTTGATTTTGAACAAGATGAAGGTTGATAGGAGGTAGAGCAGACGGTACTTGAGCACCATTTGGAGACTGATGGAGGTTTTGTAGTTTTTTGTGGATCAGATGGTGTGTACGTTCTGATCCTGCTTTTTTCTCGAATTGGCTGGGTTCAAATTCTTCTTCTGGTGTCATAACAGTTTGGACTGGAGCACCGCTATATATTTTGTTCTTATTAGTAACTGATAATGGCAAAGAATCTGTTGAATCTTTCAAAAATGTATCTAGACTTCCTTTATTTTGTGCATCTCTGCATGTTTTGAAACCATTTTCAACTTGACCACTTAATGATAATAGTAGTTATTTATGACGAGCCCAGGATATATTATAGTGTCCCTTTATATTTTTTCTGCTTCTGTACGGTACCAACTCGTGTATAGTATGTTTAATATATGCTACAGGTCTAAATAATGATGAAATCCGGTTCATTAGTATAAATTATACATTTTAGCAGCGTGCAATAAAGTAAAAAGCTCTAATAGCTCCATATAATCGCTGTAGCAGCAAAATTTAAATAATTTGACTGTGCTATAAATTAACCGACACGAACCGCTAGCCTCCACCTCCTTCTCGCACCCCGCACCTCCACAAGCTAGCAGGTGCGTCTAGACGAAGCCGCCTTCCCGATTTAACGGCTTTTTAACGATTATCGATGAAACATGTGAACAGACACTATACGAGTAAGTCTATCGTGAACTACAACCTAGGCGTCAAGTGAGAACATCTTTGATTCGTGGTCTGAAATTGCCGCGAAACGTATGAAGTGCCGAGAATTCTAATATGCCTATGATGTTAGTATATGTCATATATTGGTGAAGTATGTCATTATAGTTTGAGGTGGATAACAAGTGCAAAAAACATTAAACAATTTTTTGTGGCAAACGGTTTCTTCCAATCCCATTTTTCTTTTCAATCAATAACATAGCAAGTGCATCCTAATTCAAAGATAGCGGGTGCTAAGCTCACTTTATCGCCCTAGCCTCTCATCAGTTGATCTGTGGAACTTAACGCTCAAATAACCTAATTACAAAGAATATTATTTTTCAAGGAAAGCTTTACACTTACCCAGGAAACTGTAGTAAACCAGGTTCTTGCATTTCTCCCGAAGAGGACCTTGATACATCAGCTAGATGTTGGTTTTGAACAACATGTAAATTGTTTGGAGTATTTTGACCTTTCTGGAAGCCAGACTGTCCATTGTTATGCAACTGTTTGTGGATGAGGTCGTGCACTAGCTGGGTACGTTGATCCCCAACTTTTGAGTGAGTTGGAAGCATACCAACTTCTGTACCTTGATTTCCATCTTGACCGATCACAACTTCATTGAGGTCACCACTGTAATGTGTTTGTGATTTTTAAATGTTAAAATAAGGCAGGCACTAACACAGGGTGTTAAATCTTTTTTAGAATGGGTCAGATTAAGGGTGAGAGAAATGACAAATGAATGTTTGAAGATGGCGGCTAGGCGCCATCTTGGAACATTTTTTTTAAATGGCACAGAGAGTCATGTGATACTTTTTTCTTGAAGATTAACCTTAAAATATAAAATCACTACTCTTGGATGTAATGGATCTAATAAATATTATCAAATTCTTGTAAAATGTATCTCAGAGTAGAGAATAAATATATGGTTTGTGTAAGATGGGATCCTAACTCATATTAAATCAAGAAATACTTCATAAATGACCTGGTTTCAATACAAAAGCCTATTTTTTTCATTTGCGTCCGGATACTAAATTAGCGGTCAAGGTAAGAAAATGCACCAATGAAAAATAAACATTTGCGCCATACTCGAAGATGGACACAAATCTGATACAATACCTAAAGTGTATCTAACGAAGCTACAAAGTAATCGTAAACAGTGGTTGATTCGTGATCAACGCGTGATCGGTAGCCATGGCGCTCTGTCGGCCTCTTCCTGATTGGCTTGTAGCGACGAGCCTCCAGACAAAGTCGCACGGTTGCCACGCTCGGCGAGTTTTCGCCAGAGTGGTTGATCACATTCGCATGGATCACAAATCAATCTGTTGGTGCAATACGTGCAATAACTGTTGTAAAGGACATTATATAACAATAAATGGCATCACAAAGGTATATTCCAATTTGATCTGCAGCAAATTATGAACGGCATATACGGAGATGCGAAAGCAAGCTCAAAAAGGTGAAGAAAATTTTTCTGCAATCTTTATAGTTAAATTTTTCCTAAGAGATAGCATCAGTGAGGGAATTTTTTTCTATTGTCTTATTTTTCACATTAATGCGATGTCGAGGTATGTGGCCCTATCGCAATTGAAAATAAGGTTTCGATAATCCTTCCATAAAGTTTCGATGAGTACATCTGAAATAACCTTGAGATATTCTTCAGGGAAATACAAAAATCTCCTTTTGTGTTTTTTTGTGCAGATTTATCTATTAAAATCCTATCCGCAATCTATTTTCCGTGCACACACCTTTAACCGAATGTATGCCATATATGATATTACCGTTTCCAACTTTCACCAAGGTTAATAGGAACCATAACAGCTCCCTACCCTTCCCCCCTATAAGAATATCGATTTGTAGCCTCACATTTCAAGGTTAGACTTCTTGTAATGTTTCTGTTCAACATTCGGCGATTTCTGACAATTTTCCCAATAAAACATGATCATTGTGGCATTAAGCCTGGCAACGCTGCATAGTAGAGGGAACTCTCAGCGTCACGTTGATGGTTCGTCACCACGCACAGGATTGTAATCAGTTACGGATACCCGTTTATGAGCGCGAACGTCTTATGCACGTCTTGACTTGATTTTTCTTGCGGAAATTTAATATTAGTCTAAAATGTCTGACACAGATACAGCTGATGAAGTGGTTGAAATCAGCTTAACGTCACCCAGAAAAAGGGCTAAAAAGCTTCATCTTAGCGCAGGTGAAAAACAAATTATTCTAAATATCTACAAGAACCAGATGCAAGAGAATAGTGGATTGGCTATAGAAAATATCGTATGTAAGGTTGCTGAAATTTCTGGAGTAGGTCGATCAAGTGTTTACAAAATCTTGAAGGAATATAGACAAAATCACTCACTATCTGAGCCAAAAACATATCCAGCGAGAAAAAAAATCGTCGAAAAAATAGATGACTTTGACAAAAGTGCCATTAGAAGAAAAGTACATCACTTTTTCTTCAGGAATGAAATACCTACAATAGATAAAATATTGAAGCAAGTGAATGATGATGAGGACCTGCCAAATTTTAAAAGATCTACGTTCCATAAGCTGTTGAAAGAACTAGACTTTCGATTTTTGAAAGAGGAAGGAATAGTTTATTGATAGAAAAGGAGGAAATTGTTATCTGGAGGAGAGAATACCTTAGAAAAATTAGGCAATTCCGCGCTGAAGGAAGAAAAATTTATTATTTAGACAAAACATGGGTGAACGCGGGGCATACGCAGGGAAAGGTTTAGGTGGACAGATCTGTGAGGTCCTCAAGGCAGGCTTTTTTAGATGGCCTTTCGACGGGATTGAAAAATCCTGCAGGTAAGTTTCGAAGTATATGAACTTTTTTGGATGCAGATAATTCATTTTCTGATCGAATCAATGATTTGGAAGCTCCGAACTCAGTTTTGCTATCTCATCCAAGTTTCTGAGTATTTCCTTCGCCCAAAAACTAATCTAAGACCCTATCCTACACTAACCTAAAAAGAGTAAGTTGCTTAATTTCGTCATTTAGTGCGCTCGCTGAGAAGTAAAATAACTAATTACTTTCAGGCAAGGGAAAACGCCTGATCATTTGCCACATAGGTAGCGTAGATGGATTTGTTCCTGAAGCATTGTGGGCATTTGAATCCAAAAAAACTGGAGACTATCACGAAGAAATGGATGGTAACTCATTTGAAAATTGGTTCAAAAAAATTTTGCCGACACTTGATGATAACGCAATTATTGTGATGGATAATGCCCCGTACCACTCCAGAAAATTGGAAAAAATTCCAACAATGGCCACCAAAAAGGCAGACATTCAACAGTGGCTTGTCTCAAAGAAGATCGACTTCGACCAAACAATGGTCAAAGCTGAGCTGATAAATATAGTCAAGCGACATAAGTATAAATATGATTTAAAAATTGTTGACGAAATGACCAAAAACCAAAACGATTCTCAGGCTGCCTCCCTATCACTGCGAACTGAATCCTATCGAGTTGATTTGGGCCGACATCAAGCAATACGTGGCGTCAAATAACAGCACTTTTAAGTTTTCTGACCTTAAAAAACTGTTTGAAGTTTGATGTTGCTGTCGATAGAATTACGCCAGCAAAATGGAGAACATGTATTGACCATGTCCAAGAGAAGGTTGAAACCAAAATGTGGGATATGGACAATATCATTGACACCCAAGTTGAACCCCTTATAATTGACATCAACAATTCTGATGATTCAAGCTCCTCGGAATACAGCATATAAATCGATTGATACCATTAAGACTGGCAGTTTAACGGGCTTTTTGGCAAGACAGGTAAGTTCATTATAGACTGCAATCAAAGTGTAAGTTTCTAGTTATTAATGTGGAAATTCCAAATTTATAATTACACAAAATTAGGGTTAATTTAGGAGTTCCAAAGCATAATAGTGCCATTTTGACCTTCTTCCTATTTCTCATGTAAATTTTGATAGCAATCAAACTAACAAACTTTATGGAGTCTGTAATAAACTTTTGTACTACTACTACATCTGTAGTTTCTATTTGCTCAAAAAAATTTGCTCTGCATTGTGAATAGAAGGTTGATTTGTAAATATTATTGGGTATATATGTAAGTTAATAATAAAATATGAACAATTTCAATTGAGATGGTCCACAAGTTTTTTTCGTGTGCGTTTTAGTAACATTTTGCTGAAATGGTGAATACAGAATTTTTTGCACTGATTCCTAATGTCGAAATATGATTAGAAAGGCGTGGTATATTCCTGATAATTTACTATGCTTTTGATAGAATTTACAGCAACACATATCTTGTACGACATTTTTTGATAGATCAGTCACAATAGCTTGATACGGCCCTGTAGCGTCTCCTACGGTTAAGTTCTTGATCACGTGCAATACGGGTGTATATGTTTGATTTTACTTTGTTTCTTCGATGGATACAGTTTAGATTGATATAATTACAACAAAATGAGCAGTCTCACTGTTGCTGTATAAAGTTTTGCTTGATACATTCTTTGATGACAAATAAAATTACAGAATGCTTATTCTTAAACAAAAAAGCTCGCGCATCCTCTACTGAACAGTGGGACGCCATCACCTCGGCGCGGTAACAGTAACAGGGCTGGCTTGAGGAACAGGATTTTTCGCACAGTTGTCAAGTAATTATTAATGTCTTCAAATAATTTATTAAGCAGAATTTTGTACAGCACCAGTGAGACACTTTTATTTTCAATAAAATGCTTAGTAATGCAGTTATGTCGATCTATTGTTATCAGCTTTGGGCCATGTTTCGAGTATGCTACAAATCCTTCTTATTGATTCTAATCCACGACTATATATCCTTCTTTTTGATTGGTGGCGTCAACTTTTGTCTCCGAACTCAAATGGGAATTAGGTTTTTGTAACTGAATCATGTGATATATGAAGTATTCCTTGATTTAGTATGAGAACTATGAGCTCATCTTATACAAGCCGTATCATTTTTGTCTAGTTTGAGACATTTTACAAGAAATCTACCAAATTAGATCCACTAATATGATTTGTCATTGGTCCAATTTGAGCCAAAGTGCAAATTTTGATTATCGCGGGTCAACAGTAAAATCGGCAATAATCAGCACCAACTTTAAAAATGTTGCCAGTCAACATCTTACGGAGAATGCATAACACTGTAGATTAATGGTTGGTGACTGTTTCATTCCAGAGACACTGAGACTGCTTCAAGAAGTTAAAAGATAAGTAAGTATTTGATATAATTGTCGACCTGAATAAGGCTAGAAGAACTAAGGACTTATCAAGTGAACTACTTGACTTGAAAATAAAGTTACTTGAAACGTTAATGCTGGACTTGATTTTTCATTGTTCTACTTGGCTTGAGCTCAAGCATATTCAAACTACTTGATACTTGATGGCAAATTAGGTATATTTCTGATCTACTAAAGGCATTCAGTGATATTCGTTTGTACAACCGATGAGCCGTACCTCAATCCAAATAATCGAAATCGAAAAGTACTTCTTAGCCCTAAACAAGTAGCCTAACTGTTTCCCGGTAGCTTAAGCAATAAGCGAGATGTCCCGGTTAGCACGAAATATTTATCAAATATTTATTCAATATTTAATAGTATTTTAATCTTACTTAAATATTTGTTTTCTTAAACAAATATTTAAGTAAAATTTAATATAATATTTTTATTAAATATTTATTCAATATCTTTTAAATATTTCAAATACAATATTTCCTTTATAATATTCATTAAATATTTACTTTTCAATCAGTGGAAAATATTAAATCTCCAATATTTAGAAAATATTTATTGAATATTTTCGGCTACGGCGCATGTGCGTGTGACCCGGAGCGATCAATGGCATAATAGAAAGGCTGCGCCGACCCGTGCCGACTCGTTTGCGCGTTTACCGGCATCCATTTTGCCTGTGACTTTCACTATGATAGCGTCCTTCCTGTGTACCTCCAAGTTGTACATTATTTGAGTATTTTTTTTGTGGTAAGCTTTTCGATAATTACATAGGCTAATTTATCTTACTAGTAAACATTATTGTGCCAGTTGAGTATTAAAGTGTTCAAAAGACCATAAATAACTAGCCTTGAAGTGTAACAGTTATTTGGTATTGGTGGAACTTGATCGAGATACCTACATCAAAAATGCTTTTTTTAAATATCTCAATTAAAATTATTTTTGTCGTAGTAAGGGTCAGATCAGCTGTAACTGTATTAAAATTTTTAAGTTCAACAGTGACGCTCCAAAATGTTTACAGTTGAAATTACTATATTTTTGTCCCGTGAATTATAATATAAAATCACAAAATAGTTATGGCTAACGTGTTACCTCAAAAAAGTCATATTTGAAAAAAATCAATAGGTCTATTTTCAAAAACCTGTTTGAAAGCTGGTCAAAGGATCAAGTTGTGCCCATGAACATTTTTCATCAAGATAGATATTTATAATAACATATAAAATTTTCTTAAAAATTAACCAAACCTCAAACTCTTATAGGTCCTTTTAGGGGCATTATAGAGCTGCTTTTCAGTGACCCACAGTTGAGCTACTCGGAATAACTCAGCATGCCCAGCACCAATATTGTTCCACTGCATTTTATATTCCCATAAATATACTGGAAAGCAGCTTATGTATTCAATAATACTTCATAATCAGTCAGTTTTTTCCAGAGGAGTGAACTTGCAAGATGCAGAAGAGGCTTAGAATGTTTTTTTTAATAATATTTTACTAGCAAATAAACCATATTATATCTAGATTGAACTTTATAAACCCAATTTTATATGAGCATTCCTACAGATTTTGCTAAAATAACCAATAGAGAATTTTCTATATACCTACACTGAAAATATATATCAGATTAATGCTTGAAAATCCATATATATTTACGGAAAATAAGAGATATTTCATCAAAATATAAAATTGATATTTAAAAGTCTTTCGCCATATATTTTCTAAATATTTGCAAAAAATGTCGCAAAAATATATGAATTATATATGTATCCTACACATATCTATGGTGAATATTTTATAAATATATATCTAAGAAATATATTTATTAAATATTAAAAAATCTGTCGCTATAAATATTTAACAAACATTTTTTAAAAATATTTAATGCTATCGGGGGTGTTCTTGGCAGATCAAGTCTTCGATGATCTGGACTAGCCGAAATGACCTGCTCTTTGGCAGAACTTGGCCATCCATAGAAAAGGGATGAGCGCTAGGACGCGTTTTGTTCGTCAATGTACAGTACTGTGTTTTGAAAGCATTAAACCGTACAAGATTGTTGCGTCCCCAAGCAGTGATAACCTCCAGGTCTCTCGTCATAGAGGAAGTCGTCGCTTGTCTTCTTTTTTCCAGCTCAGCGGCAGAGATCGGGTTGCCACTCTAAATTCCTGCATGTAGAGTGCTGTCATCAGCAAAGCTGTGTATTCGGTTGATCGTACAGGAAAAGAGGTCGTGAGATATGTAAGAGGAACAGTGCTGGAGCCAAGACCGATTCCTGGGGAACACCCGCGTTGATGTTGTGGGATGAAGAGGAGAACCCATCAATTACGACGGATATCTTGCGGCCAGAAGGAAAGTCAGCCACTCAACTGCTAAGCTTTACTGGGAGACCATACGATGGAAGTTTGCATAAGAGCGTGCCACAGCTGATCGAACGCTTTCGTGATATCAAGAGCAACGACATGAGCCTCACCATAAGGCTGGACGAGTTTACTCCACAAATGCGTGACGTAAGCTAGGAGGTCCCCAGTGGATCGCTGGTGCCGGCAACCATACTGCCTGTCGCTATTCAAGCCGTGACGTTCGAGGTAGTCTAGAAGCTCGCGATTCATGTACCTCTCCATCACCTTACTTATAACAGAAAGCAGAGCTTTAGCCCTGTAACTGTCTGGATCCTTGTGTTAGATCCTTTTTTTGGGATGGGTTGAATATGAGTAAATTTCCAGTTTTCTGGGAAGGTTCCGGATTCATAAGATATCTGGAAGAGACGCGAAATAACTGGAGCAAGTTCCACTGCATACTTCTTCAGTACAATGGCAGGAATCAGATCCGGACCAGAAGCTTTGTTGATGTCGAGCGACAAGAGCATCCGACTTACAGTCTGATGCTTGAATGTTACTTTCCGCTTAGTGTAGCAAACCCTTTGAATCGACGACACTTGGGCGTTGGAGGGGACATGGTGAAGTTGGCAGTAAAGATCTTGGCAAGCATCTTCGGCTTGGCATTTGAGTCAGTTAGAATCGTTCCATCCTGACACGTAAGTGGTGAAAGGCTACTGTGCGAGAAGTTCCTTCCAATCTGCTCGGCCAGCATCCTAAAAGACCGACTGCCATTGCGCTGCGACATTACCGTGTGCCTAACTTGTGTATCGTGCTGGTCTTTGGCATTGCGAACCACTCTGAACTCGATGTCGGATTGTGTGTTCTGTACAGTGGGGCTTTGTGAGAAGGGTCTGTGTGCCTTGATCTTCTGCTGGCGAGCAGTGTCGCACGATTTGTTGAACCAGCCGTTGGACCCTAGCTTAGGCACTTTTGCTGTATGAGGGATGTATTCCTCCATCCCGACGTGGATAATTTAGGTTATCGAAGAACAGACCCCCGACGCCTCCACTGCTGCCACAGCGGGTTCTGACCGAAACCCAACCTCCACAGCACCGTGGTCGGAGTTGCCCAGGAAGACAGGATAGCAGTGCTGCAGGGGACAGGATGCGTGGTCAGAAGGTGATCCAGCAGGCTACTGGCATGTGACGAGATGCGGGGGAAAAAAGTAGTGTTCGTCACCAGCTGGGACAGGGACAGGTAAGAGCGAACGCTTCAACTGCGAGACCTGCCGCATCGGTCTTGCTTAAGCCCAACCAAAGCTCATTATGGGCATTGAAATCACTGAGGAGAACTACCTCTGAAGCGGGGTGATTGTTGTTCAGGAAGTCGATCTTGACTGCGAGGCATTCAAGTATATCATTCTAGTTTTGGTGCGAGGGAGAGCGATAAAGACAGCAAATAAATTTGGAGGATATTTTGGAGGCGACGCCACAGAATGTCTTTCCGATCTGACTCCAGAAAAGCGTCTCTGGAGCAGGAAAGGGTGCTGTGGACAAAAACCACAACTCCCCTGTTTTTTCTCAGATTGTTAGGTATTTGGAAAGCTAAGATGGGTAATTGGTGCAGACTTTGATATTTTTGCCTCCGTCAGTGGAGTGAGCTTACGTCCAGATTTCTTAGTACTCGAGGAATCCATCTTCATTAATTTTGATGTTGCGGAAAATAACCGACTGCGTAGCTTAGGTGTGGAAACTTGCCGACACTTATAAGACAGCCTGGGAAAAGCTAGCGGGTTGTACCGCCTCGGTCGACTGGTCCCTGTCTACCAACATCTTTTTGTGCGTTAATGATATTGAATAGGCCTAAAGTGGCCTGTTGGGGGTCCTGCTGTCTTGTTCGGGTCATCGTCCATAGACCGGCTGCCTTCTCCACGGCTCAAGGAGCCCGGTCTACCCCCACCGCCAACCTTTTAATAGAAGCTGTTAAAATCCTCTTGCAGGATGATTCCCGCCATCGGGATTCGTTACCCGATTTTGGTCAATCATCCCGGAGAGACCCTGACTAGGTACTTATACCGGAAGTCATCAGTCGCTATATCCTTGTCAGTTACAAAATAATATAGGGGTGCACGATCGAGAGGTTGGCAGTTCAGTATGAAAGGCTTTATCTAAATACTATTTGATAACATATGACAGTATTCAAACCACATTTAAACTGTGACCTGCCGTACTATACAGGGTGTTATGATATTATTTTGTTGATTAAAATAATCATTTTTCAGTTCTTAACTAAGGAATTTTTCAGTCAAACTACCCGCGATATATTACTACTAAATTTGATATAAAATATTTTTCATCCACACAGATGGGTGAAGGTCGCATCTAATTCGGATTTCAGACATTTAGAAATAAAATTGCTTACTTTAGAGCACTTAGTGCTTCTTCATCACTAAGAAGCACAATCCTTTTTGTACATCCACAGTTAGGTCCAGGTTCCTGGAGAATAGCAGCTCCGACTCGTTCATCTGCCCCAAAACCAGTTGGTGCTTGATCCACCATCGCACCTACTCGTTCCTCCAATAAGAAATCTGTATCGCCAATATTTTCTATGTTACTACCATCTTCAAAAACGTTACTGAATGTGATCGGATCTTGAATCGGGATAGTTTCTTCACTGAAGAAGTCTGCGGAACCTCTGGTGAAGCGTTGGGAATCCCCTAGCGTTGCCCTAAAATAGCAACACCAAGGTCAATTGGTTGACATACAAATCTGCCGTTTTCCGGTATGATGCAATGGATATGTCGTGGTCACTTCGTAAAATGATCGAGCATTTCATGAAATGTATTATTATCCATCGCATCGGTTAGATTATGATGTGCGTTCATGATACTATAGTAACGTTCTAGCATCACATTTCCAACGGTTTGCCACCCAAATGTGAACTCTTTCTACGCGCATGCTTTATTAAAAGACTAGTTTCAAACAGTTACAAATTTGATTCTGCTAGAACACATTTATCTATCAAAATACGTTTGAGTTCACAGTGACAGCATCGAATCTGACATTTTGTTGAATTTCCATGTTTTTTCCTCCTTGTTAGGTCATTGAGTAACAGTTCCAGATGTACTAAATTTTTGAACTTGATTATGTAGAATAAACTATTCTTTATATTAAATCAGCTACACCAGCGTTTCTCAACCTTCAACATTGAATAATTTACTAAAAGGAAAGAAAAACAAAAATCTGACATAATCAAAAATAAAATACACACTAACACTGATATAGTAGGTATACTTATAAACATTACTGTATTTATCAATACTAAATTAAAAATAATTTTAATAATATTAATTGTAAAAAAATGATAATGATAATTACTGGTGACCCCTTGGAATTGATACATAATCAAGTTCCTACGAATTTAAGAGTGACGCAAACTCCCCAACACAATTCAAAAACCATAGCCCTAACTCATCAGACACCCATAGCAAAACAAAACCTTGTGCGATCCGCGCATGTCAGAAGCTCCTAATCACGCCAAGATCCTGTGTACTGTTTCGACCATCCGAAACCAGTTCGGAGACCAAAAATTGATAATCCCCGAATAGATGTTAAAAAATGTGTAAAAGTTGGTTTTCCGTACGCCGTACCACCGCTAGGTGTTCAATTTAATCATTGTAAACAAATGAAATGGAGCTGTCACGTTCTAAAGGCTGGTTGTACTTTTTTTGTAAATCCTTATGATTCCCGCAAAGTTGGGGTTTTCCTTTTCAGAAACAACTACCCTTGAAATAACAAAGGTATTGTGTAGTGAAACGAGGGCGACCAAGTAAAAAAAAATAAAGGAAAAAGTACTCACTCTCCAGTTGACGAGAAGGGCTAAGTACGTCTCTGCCCGAAATCATACCGCTCCAACAGAAAATGAAATCAGCTGAAGCGCTACCGAGCAGACGCAGAAACCACATTGATTGTCTTACACTTAATGGCACATCTAACAAGGAAGGCAAAATGTTGCGTAATTGCGTGCGAATTTTCTACTGACCAAACATGAGTGTTGCGAAAGTTATTCACCCCATTACGCGTGAACGTAGTTTCGTCTGTCACCAATATGAACTTCAAAAAGTCCGGATTATTGTCATGTTGATGCAACAACCACTCACAAAACCGCACTTTTGCTGGAAAATCGTCAGGTTGAAGGGCTTGTACAAGTTGGACGTGCAACCGATAGGCCCTCTTCACGCAGCGTTTGCCACACTTTAGTTTTTGATACTTGCACTTCTCTAGCCACGTCTCTAGAGGTTCTCGTCTACGCGATTACCTCTACATGCGTGACCGTAACCATCGGTTGAAGGTTGCATACTGACCTGATACACTGACCCCGACCCAGTTCTGCCATCGGGTTGAGACCTTGTAACAGTCGGGGATATCCCGGCGGGTCGCGGCTACAGAACGGTATTCAGATATTTTTGATGTTGCAGAGCCCTTTATCTCGGTTCCCTTAAGACATTGGTGTATATGGTACTAAGAAAAATTGCTTATGTTTTCAAGATCTACACGTCGTGTAAAGGAAAACCCCAACTTTGCGCACACCCTGTATATCTATTATTGTTGTTCTAATTACGCACTGGTAGAAAAAATGTTCCTAACGCATGCAGACGCGAGTGGAAAAGTATCACTTTCCGCCCTTGATGGGAAAATAACTATTGCTAGCAAACATATGTCCACCATATCCATCAAAAAGGTGTAAACAAAGGTTTTTTGATGAAATTTTGTTTTGGGCAACTTTTAGGATTTTTGAACCACTGTGTGCTGACACTTCAACAATATCAACTTCCTTTGCCTCCTAGCTATCAACAACAGCATCAACCCTGGCAATCTCTCCCTGAACAAATCCCCCTCCTCCATCTCAAAAGCAGGTCCAACAAAAAATCCGAAATTCCATTGGTGGAACGGTAATCTCCCACGCAGATGGTGCCTAAAACAAGCACCGCCTATATGGTGCGCCAGCCAATCAGAACAAGGTTTTATCCCCGCCTACTTAGTCGGTACGATTCTCGACAGCCCAAATATGCAGACCCTCTCTCTGGGAGGCGCCAAAGCCATGGCAAACGAAAAAGATGCAAGAGGAGTTGCCGCCGTGGGCTACTGTTTGGCTATTCTGCATTGAGATAAGAGAATTGGATGCGCGGTAGACAAGGCGGATTGAGTAGTGGGGACACCGTTTCATAAGCAGCAGCGATCGACGGCATATCGTGGGTACAGTGCGAATCAAAATTTTAGGCGCGTACATGTATGTTGTTATACTGCCAGATTCGCGATGAATAGCAAAGTTAGAAACAAGGTTCTGAGTCAAAAAAGTCGGGAAATTATAGCCTCTATATTAGAATTCATGCAAAAGGAAGCAACAGATGGAGTGACTATTCCTATAGACAAAGTAAGGCCTTCATAATTATGTTCATTCGGTCTGTAAAATCCGGTTTAATACGTTTTTGCAATACTATTGTAAATTCTAGGTACAAGAACGTGTCTCTGCCGCAACAGGGTTGAGCCTGTCTTCCATAAGGCGTGTAAAAAAAGAAGCGCAAAATATAAAAGAGCATGTGACAGTTTCATTCCCAAAACCAAAGAGAACAAACATCAAAACTAAGGTGGCTCTCGATGGTTTTGACCAAGGGCTGTTACGGAGAACGATCATCAACTACCTTATAACAGAGAAGCGCATACCTACCTTGCACTGTATATACAGAAAAATGCGCGATGTTGTCAATTACAAAGGGTGTAAAGAAACACTACGCAAGGAAATACACAAATTGGCGAAATATAGAAAAGAAGGTCGCCCAGTAATATATACTGACGAAACGTATATACATTCTTCGCATACACATACCAAAAGCTGGGTAGATAACTCCACAGACGGTATTAAGAAACCAATATCAAAGGGGAAAGGCTGATCATACTCAATGCGTACGTAAGATGGAAATCTACATGTAGCACAGGAGATTATCATAATGAAATGAATTTTGATATACTAAGTGACATATAAATCCGAACACCCAGTTTAAATGGTTTTATTTTATTAAAATTTTGTATAAGTAGGTACTTAATGAAGCATAATAAGTAAATGATAAAAATTTCAAAATGATTGCACTGCTTTAAAGCCCTTTGACCTTTAATAATGTGTGGATGCACCCTGATGTGCTACGCATTCTCCAACGCGCCTAGGCATACTTCTAATCAGGTGGCCAATGTCCTCCTGTGGTATCTCATTCCAGGCAACCACCAACTCCTCTCGAAGTGCTTCTAGAGTCTGAGGAGGACGTTGCAAATTGAGCAATCTCCTACCCATCATATCCCACACGTGCTTAATTGGGGATAAGTCGGGAGATCTTGGTGGCCATGGTAACAATGTGACATCATTATGTTGAAAGAAGTATATTGTGACTCTTGCAACATGTGGTCCGGCATTATCTTGTTGGAAAGTTGGATCTGCCAGGGTGTCAAGATAGGGTAAAAGATGGGGTTCTAGAACTTCGTGGATATAACGCTGCGCGTTCATGTTACCTCTGATGAAGATTAAAGGTGACCTGGAACCATAAGCTATAGCATCCCAAACCATAACTCCAACAGTGTGATGAACATGTCTTTCAACAAAAAACTGTGGATTCCTCCTTTCACCACGTCGCCTTCTAACCCTGGCACGACCATCGTGCATGCCTAAACAAAATCGAGACTCGTCACTAAAGACAATACTGTTCCATTCCTGATCCCAGAGTGACCGTTGTCTGCACCACTCAAGGCGATTACGTCGGTGGTCTCGAGTTAAAGGGAGGACCCAGTGTGGCCGGTATGAAAACAAGCCAAAACTTCTCATTCGTCGGTAAACACTTCGCATGCCAATAGGTCTTCCGTGTTCTGCAAACCACTCATTTGCAATGGACCTGGTAGTGGAGAAACGGTCCCTTAAGGCCAATAATCTTAGGCGGCGATCTTCACGGTCTGTTGTTCTACGGCGGCGTCCAGTTCCCCTTGCTCTTTGCGTACGGCCTTCTCGAAGCCATGCCTGACAACACCTAACCACAGTGTCTACACTTCTTTGCACTCTAACTGCAATTGCCCGAAAAGAAAGTCCAGCTTCCCGAAGTCCCACTATACGGCCCCTATCAAACTCACTAAGTTGACGAAATCGTACAGGTCTCCGTACTCTAGGCATCGTAACCGATCGTAAAGGATGTCAAGAACCAAAATCCGCCAACGTTGATTCTTTACTGCGGCTGAAATATTCATTTTTAGAGCGTTAGTGAATTAAAAAAAAGCAGTATAAAAACCGGAATGTCCAACTGATAAGGCTGAAAATTTTTTCACTTGTTATTTACAGTAAGATAAATACATTCACCAACTTTTATTAAAATAAAACCATTTAAACTGGGTGTTCGGATTTATATGTCACTTAGTATAATTATAAAAAGTGGCTAAAAGAAAAACTAAATCCAAATCTACCTCCCAGAAGTGTGGTTGTTATAGATAATGCGCCATACCACTATAAACAAGTAGACAAAAGTCCAACATCTTCAACCGCTAAAGCTGAAATGAAGATCTGGCTTCGTGACAGGAATATTTTTTTACAGATGAAATGCTTGAACCAGAACTTTACAATTTTACCACCCCGATTTAAATCCAATAGAACTCGTGTGGGCAACAATGAAGTCTTAGGTAGCAGCCAGAAATGTCGATTTCAAGTTTTCTACCGTTTCAAAATGGTGGGACGCGTTTTTCAATAACTTTACGCCCGAAGAATGGAAAACTAGGTGCGAGCATGCAAAAAAAATTGAGATAGAGTTTATGCAGCAAGAGCCCGCTGTTGTTAGAGTTATAGACGAAGTTGTTATCGATTTAAATGAAGTTGACAGCGATAGCGACTTTCTCGAGACCGAAACTGAAGATGAAGATGCCGAAGAACGGAGCGATTAAGCAGAAGGGGAATCTAGAGGAATTTTAGATGTACAGTCTGGCAAAGTCAGTTTAAGCTGTGAAAAACCGGTTGCACCGTAAACATCACGTCACTAGGGATACCGGCAAGAGCCAACAAGTATAGCAGATATCGGGGGTGTTATATGTTTATTTTTTATTTCCTACGCCTACTGGCAGAGGAAGTATTGTAATTGAACTTTACGTATTGACTTTTAGAGGCTCGTGATCATTCTTATAAAATATTTTAGGGGTTAAAAATTGGGCCTTTTAGAGGTTGTAGGGTATGAGGGAGGGTCTTATTTTTTTTATCTTAGTATCTTATCATTACAGGAAAAGAATGTCTATGAACAAATTGTATGGAACTGTGTGACTGACTTGATCCGTTTAATTTCTCTTCGTTCGAAGTTAACTTTTTTCATAATCCTTTATGAACTGATAACTACATTGCAGGTAAAGTGCAGAGTCAACGTACTTGACGCCAATTTTTTATACATACCCATTTCTGGCCATGCCCAGTCTGCTTCCAGGTCCCATCAAAGCCTGAGCTCTAGATCTAGCGGCTGCAGCATTTGCAGCAGTCCTTGCTAGAGCAATCTGCCTCTGCGTCGTCTGTCTTGCCACTACTCTAGCCTGGTTGGCTCTCGCTAGTTGGGCCAAAACTGCAGAGTGCACCAAGGCGATGCAGATGGTGAAGCAGCAGAGGAGCGTCCAAGATTTGAGGGGGTTTGGTAACAACTGTCACAAAAAAAAATCGAATTAAAACGGATAAAAAAATAGTTTTAAGGTAGAAAGTACAGCCAAAATAACAAACAAAAGTTCCTATAAATATGGGTTCAAAGATGCTACCCTATCGAGATACAGAGTGATGAAGTGTCATTTACGAAATCGAAAAAATATATCAACGTAGCGGGGTGAAGTTACTGAACTAAGATCTTAGACGTTTAGTGTACACATCATAAACGCACGGAGTTTACCGGTCCAAAATAAACTAGGGATGTAACGTAGAAACTGAGCAATCTGAACCCCTAATAAGGAATATTTTCTACGCCACTGGCTTTTTTGGAGAAAAAAGTGCATTTTATAGAATACCATACAATTTTCCATTAATTTTGACCCATAAGGAAATTTTGTCAGATCACTCGTTTTGAAGATATTTAGGTTTGAACATTAGGCGTATAATCCCAAAATATTCTTATAAAAAGGTTTAGCTATTCTGAAAAGATAGGGTGAGTGAGTGTGCCAGTGGGTACCAGCTAGAGGCGACGATAGTTTGTGTACACGAGATTTTCTGCGCAACCACATAACAAAAACTTTTTCGTCGAAGGTCCACGAGGTATGTTACGACATTTGAATTCCACTAGGAGCTTTCAATTTAGTTATTGTATTACTGATACGATTAATTTTGCTATGCATATGTAGTTTAGTTGTTCTTGCTTTTTCAACAAATAATGGGCGGCCATTTCGTTAAATGAAGATGATTCCCTAATATGAGACACGTGGGGCTCCTAGAATGAGATAGATATTTCATATTAGGATACACACTGTAATAATTAGTATATTTCAAATTATTTCCCGTATAATTTGCAGGCAACTGTAACCTTATAGTGTTCACACATGTATTCCCTTCTTCTAGATGCCGCCGATAAAAAGGAAGTCCTGGAACCACGATGCTATGATATGGGCCGTGGATGCAGTGCGAAGCAAGGAAATCGGTTATTTAAAGGAGTCAAAACACTTCGGTGTGCCTAAGGGTACCCTAGCACGTTATGTGAAGAAGGATGCCAAGGCAGAAGTGCTTGTTAAAGTTCGCATGGGGAGAGCTCCAGTTCTGCCTGACTATTTAGAAGTAGAGCTAGGTAAGTATTGTAAGGAATCAGACCAACGATTTTATGGGTTACGTCTGAAGGACATGAAGTACATGGAGTTTCAATTCACTATGATGAATAATCTCAAAAATACTTTCAACTTGACTAAACAATCAGCTGGTGAGAAGTGGCTACGTGGGTTTATAAGCCGGCATCCCGATTTGTCAGTCAGAACACCTGAAGCAGTTTCTGTCGCAACAGTGAAAGAATTCAATCCAGTTGCTGTCAATAAATTTTTTGATTTATATGAGCCGGAAATTGATAAAATGCAATCAACTTCACACGGAGCGTACAACGTTGACGAGACTGGAATAACAGTCGTACAACATACACGCTCCAAAGTCATTAGCTTGAAGGAAAAGCAGAAGGTTGCTGCGTTGACATCTTTGGGAAGAGGAAAACTAATAAACATTCTAACGTGCATGAACACTTCTGGTAACTATGTTCCTCCATTATTTATTTTTAGGAAAAATATGGCTCAAGATCTGATGGATGGTGCACCCGTCGGTTCCATACGTGATTGTCATCCCTCTGGCTGGATCCAAACGCACTTATTCACAAAGTGGTTTCAGCAATTTATTAATTTCACAAAGCCAAGTAAAGATGATCCCATAATTTTGATTCTAGATGGCCACTACACACATACAAGGAACATTGATGTCATAAATTTAGCTCGCGATAATAATGTAACAATAGTCTTCTTACCACCACATTGCACACACGCAATGCAACCTCTGGATGTAGCGTTCATGAAACCACTTAAAACTTATTAGGTACTCCCAAGAGATTGAAACATGGCTGCGAAACAACCCAGGGCGGACACTGACAAACAAATATGTAGCAAGACTATTTGGCATTGCCTATGAAAAATCTGCCACAATCACTACCTCTGTCAGTGGTTTTCGTACAACTGGATTGGTTCCTTGTAATCGTAATGTTTTTATAGCAGATGAGTTTGTAATTTTCAATGACGAAGATCAAGGACAACAATCACCCGATAGGCGTTCCCAGATTCATCAACCTTCACCTGAACATGGAGTGTCAAATGAAAATCTGAAGGAAACACGCCGCGAAACTACTTCGGTAGAAAATCCATCTGAAGCTATTTCTTATGGCGCTGACTTACATGAAAATCCAGTGCCTAGCACAATACTGAATCAAGATAAATATACTCCACATAGACAAGTGCTTAGCAAATAAATTTTTTTTTATCAAATATTTTGTAATGATGTTTAATTATAGAGACTTCCATTTAATGTCCAAAAAGTATTACATATATAATGTTACAAATCTGTATTTCATTAGGGGTTGATTGAAAATAATAAACACAGAGATAAAAGACTAGGACACCTTGACAAAATTCACAGTAAAATTGAAGAATCACTTATTAAATTTACAATTATAGCTTGCCCAGCATGTGCATCATATGGCTTGAATTTACTAGTATTAAGTTGTTCATAATTATTCTGTTTATTTAGCCAAACGTGCTAAATAAATCTTTCTACTACTACCACTAGATATTATGGAACATCTAACTGGGCAATATTTATGGCCCGGCCACATATTTCGGATATATCAGCTATGTTTTGACTACATCTTGACAATAAGTTGGATACTCGAAAACGGCGAATTTTGATAAAAAATTCCAAAATTTCCACCAACCATGGACTTTTGAAATTTTAGCTTAAGGATTTGTTATTTTCAGTGCTGATTATGCTTCACAGCACATTAGTCTCTATCAAACAATTAAGGATGTGTAACTCGCGCATTTAGGATGTTGAACTCTGGGTCGAAATTATTAATTTACGATAATAATTATTAAATTAAACTAAATAATAATTTTTGAAATTTTACCTCCGAGAGTTTTACGTAGATATTAAAAAAAATATTTTTGAACTTTTTTAACCGAAGGTTTTCTCATATATATTCACACTGACGGAGTTAAGAAATTCGTGCTGTTTGGCTGTTTGACAGTGCATAAAAGTAAAGTGTTTTGAATAAGACTATACTGTTGCCATGTCATCTTTCTATTAAAACAGGATACCACGCAATTTGCTGAATGTTTATATGAGACTATGTGCAATATTGCAATTTTAAGTACAATGAACACAAACTCGATGGTTCTTATAGTCAGGGTAATATATTCGCATTTGAGGTGAAAAATATTTTGATTAAGATTATGTTCATAGTTAGTAGTGAAAGAAATTCAAAAAATAGTTTTTTTTGCTCCGGTCAACGTCAGAACTTTTTTCCAAAGTTGATAGTTTTCGCTATTCAATATTAGAAAAAGTTCAAAATGTGATATTTTTGGCCCCGTAAAACAATATGAAGAACCGAAAATTTTAATATTGCCAATAGTTCCAAATATTCTTCAAACATTCATTAACAAATCCCAAAGCATGTAAGGAGGTATTGTTATTATAAACCTTTTTGTTTCAGTAATAATAAAAAATGATAATAATAAAGCATTTATTGCCTAACAGTACAGATAAAATTTAGAGCACAATAAATGATAATACAATGATTTAATTAACACCGTTTGTATGCCAAAAAATGAAAAAAAAAACACAAAAAAAAGAAAGGCGCTTAAGTAGAAAGAAAAGAAACTATGAATACGATTAATAGATAATAGCAAAAAAGAATATATATATATATATATATATATATATATCATGTAACGTGCACACATAAATATTAAGCAAACGGAAACGTCTAGGGAAAGGGGTAAAAAAGTCAAAGGTGTGAGCGTATAGCACTTCTTGATTTCTGAAATGGACATCAAAAGGTATCACAAAAACTCCAAATCCTATTCGCCTTATTGCACATACAGTTTATTGGGGCTTTAGGCAGTAAATTTGTCTGTACACGCTTGCAGAAAAAGGAAGCTTGATATATGAATGTCAATCTAAGTACCAGGAAATCAATTTGCGATAGCAAAACAGGACAGTCGAGGTTACCATGTAGTAATTTGTATAAAAATATGACCGACGCCTGCTTTGTGCGCTTCTCTAAAGAAAGGACACCAAATCTATTCAATAATAATCCATTTTCTCTTAAAGGATAGACATCATCACTGATGGCATAGATATTTCAGAGATACCTTTTCAATATTATTTTTCTAAACCTCATAGGTACGGCTGAAAACACTGAAAATAACCTAATAAGAGTTGCTATATTGAAACTTCTATAATTTTTGATAATAAATCCATATGTGCGATACGCATTTCTTATAATTTCACTGATGTCTGACGTGGTAGTGCACTTATAATGTTATTGAGTTATTCAGTATATTAATCGCCTTATTATTATTTACTAAGGTTTTGTCTTGCGACTTGAAGCGCCACTCGAATAACAATTGAAAAAATAAAGGTTTACAATAACATAAAATCTCTGGGATTTTATTGAGAATAGCTAGGACTACATTCTCAACATTAATATTTTCGTTTTTTCATATTGTTTTTCATTGTCGAAAATGGCATGGTTCGTGTTTTTGCGAATGAAGTATCGCTTATATCAAGAAAACTATCAACTGAAGAGAAAAGTTCTAAATCACCTTCTTTGTTCAGAACGTCCCAAAAAAAACCTAAGCACACTTCGACCGCAGAAAAGAACTATTTATGGGATTTGTTAGCAGAAATTATTTAAAAAAATTTGGACGCACGTTTTGGCTTGGTACCATGCAGACTTGTTAGAAGGATGCCTTTTTGAATAAGATTATGCAAAAAGTTCGAATCAGAATATTTGTCCCATCAGATGCGAAAATACGGCCCAGACTATTACAAAAATGCGACATAAAATTAATATCAACTTACCATGTTAACCATATTCTATTCCATAGACACCAGCTATTGCACCAAACCAAAACTACTACTGGCATCAATCTTTGACATAGATTTTTGTTGATCAAATACCAACCTTGATATGACTAACTGTTTAAGTTTTTCAACCAAAACATCGAAGGATTTCAAAACATACGGTTCTTCGCAGAAATAAAACATTTGCGGCATTTTTCAAAACATTTATTTAAAAATAATTATTTCTGATAACAGGTATTGATCGATACGTTTGATATATACACAACTTTACAAGTCCTTGTACAATATTCAATAACAAATGTATATTTTAATTTTTTTAGAATGAAATTCACAACACTCCTGGCTCTGTTAGAACAAATATTACAATAACCGCTTTATATAATAAAACTATTTACAAAAATGAACTTGATAGAAATCAAAAAATGCGTGAATCAAGCGAAGTGGAAAATCAAAAAATATGATCCGATTTTCAGATTGAAATGCCTAGAAGCTTTTTCGAAAACCTTTCCAGTGCACCTCAAAATATCTCTGAGGTTTTCCTATCCATTCGTTTCCTCTAAAGATCTAAAAATCCGTTGCATCTGGACCTAAAATAGAAAATTATTATAGCAATGGTCATGAAGAGATTTTTGTCAACCGGCGATACATCTTACTAAGTGACATAGAAAAAAGAGGACCCAGTAATAATGAATATATTTATTACGATTTATTGTATTCATGTCTCTCAAGATTAGGCAAGTAATTGATCAAAATTGCAGAAACATCCAACAAATTAAAAAAAAAATAATAGTTCGTTGTGCAAGTAATTGTTGTCACATCAATTCTTGATAGACTGTTTATCACGATCAATTTTTGTTTTAATCTCATTTAAATATCTACGTCTACAATTTATTTGAAATATAATGTCTTGATAATTTTACAATTTGGGGTCGATTATTCAAATACCCTTTACACCAAATGAGTGAAGTTCCAACCATATTTGTTTATTTTTTTAATAGTATATCATGATTTACACAATCAAAAGCTTTGGAAAAGAAGTCGAGCTATTGAAATTTGTTTATCATTTAAATTTGAGTATAACTGTTGGTGTAATGTGAAAATAGCATCCATGGTATTTTTTGTTTTTGAAATCCAAATTGGTTGTCACTTAATAATTTCTAAAACTTATGGGTTTATAATTTTCTGATAAAATGCTTGGACCTCTTTTATAAACAGGAATTACTATGAATGTTTTTAAAAATTCAGTGCTAAGAAAAATAGTAATAAGATTTGTGGGCGTATCAAGAGCATTAGCTATAACGTTCAAAGCAATTTCATCAATGCCTGATGATTTCTTATTTTTGATGGATCTTAATAATAATTTCAGTTCACACAATGTCAGCAGGATAACGGATCACCAGAGTTTTTCTGCTATTGTGCAGTAATAAATAATTATTTAGTACATCAGGATTTATAGGCCTCTTAATTCATTTACGAGTTTCCATGCCTGCTTGGTTTTATTTCCTGCACTTAATATTTCCTGTTTATTATAATTCTTTTTTGCTAGAGTTAAAACTTGCTTATATATTGTATGATACATCATACAATAGTTACTTTCATTTTTTATAAATTTCTGAACAAACATGTACTTAGAAAATCATTATTACTGGGTGATCTTTTTTCTGTGTCAATATTTATATTTTCAGGAAAAAAATTGTCGTAGAGTACCATTAGATGCAAAAACATAGAAATCTCGAAAGTTAGATCCACTAGGTATATGGAGTTTTAGTGGAATGCGTTTTAAATACTGTATTTTAAAAGGTTTTTTGATATTCAGTTATATACTTGGTAGTAGGTCTCATTAAACTGAATAAAAAGTTCATTTAAACTTATGTATTTTATGAAGCCGTTACTGAAAATCAAAACTGCACAAAATTTACAGGTAAACTTTTTAAAAACATATTTCGTTCAAAAATCCAGTCATTCGACCCGAATTCCGAGGTTCAAGCCCAAGAGCACTCTACAATTCCAAATTTTATATAAAAGTGTCGCAAATATAAATTGTCCATTGCTTAAGCGCATACAAAAACAAATGAGTTCAATAAAAAAACAAGAAATGAAGACATTACATAGTCCTGAAAAGAAAAGGATGTGAAAAACATTTTATTTGCATTTGCATTATTCGAAGATAATTTGTTAATCACTGTTCTTTTTTCAAAAACACAACATGCAATATGCGATTAGAGATGCTCCTAAGATGCGCCTGAAAATTTGTTAATAACAAAACAAAAATTATGCGATTAAGTAATCTCTTTAGTAGCAAACTACACCTTTTGATTGCGAATAAAAATGGTTAAGTCACTGATTGAGGCCTCTTTAGACTACTTGGAAATTCATTCGTATGGTTTATAAAAATATCTTTGAAAACCTGAAAAGAAAATGTTGAGCTCAGAGAACCGAGGTGTTGAAGTTTTCTATTGCCCTTTGTAAGAGTGATAATATTCCTATGACAAAAGCCAGTATCCATTTTTGGTGGATACCTTTGTCTATATATTCTTTTCGTTTTGAAAGCACAACTTCAGTACCTTGTATAGTAGACAGAACTATTGTGTCTGTTTATATTTTTCCTATCTCTTTACCGTATTCACAGGGAATGAAATCCATAGTGAGAGTGATTGGATCAAGTGAGGCTCACACTATTGATCCGTAGTCCTCACCCACTTGCAACTTTGCAATCTAACACCCCTCCCTGCCCTACCTACAGTGCCGGCCATCTGGCAACGATGCTATGACTAACTACGCCTCTCGCCAGCTACGGCAGCCATCCATCAGTCAGACCACCATTCAGGTATAGTCAGATATGTGTATGTTGTTCTAGGTTAAAAGAGAAAATGTACAGGGAGATCTATGATGCGTGAAATACATGATGGGTGTATAGAAACGCCAACATATTAAGATATACCCACTCCCTACAACATCCAACCCCTACGCATTAAAAACACAGGTATTCGAGGTTCAGGTAGACAACGCCAATGAACTATTGGACAGTATTCAAAATGCTGCAAGTCCATTAAAGAATAATGACATCTTAGAGGAAGAATTATATTGTTTTTCGCCGTATTGTTATGTACAGGAACGAAACTGGTGGTCATATTGAGTACCTTTTATGTAAGATTCGCACTATTGCCTGTGTTAAATAAAATTGTAATATACTAAGTGACATATAAATCCGAACACCCAGTTTAAATGGTTTTATTTTAATAAAAGTTGGTGAATGTATTTATCTTACTGTAAATAACAAGTGAAAAAATTTTCAGCCTTATCAGTTGGACATTCCGGTTTTTATACTGCTTTTTCTTAATTCACTAACGCTCTAAAAATGAATATTTCAGCCGCAGTAAACAATCAACGTTGGCGGATTTTGGTTCTTGACATCCTTTACGATCGGTTACGATGCCTAGAGTACGGAGACCTGTACGATTTCGTCAACTTAGTGAGTTTGATACGGGCCGTATAGTGGGACTTCGGGAAGCTGGACTTTCTTTTCGGGCAATTGCAGTTAGCGTGCAAATAAGTGTAGACACTGTGGTTAGGTGTTGCCAGGCATGGCTTCGAGAAGGCCGTACGCAAAGAGCAAGGGGCACTGGACGCCGCCGTAGAACAACAGACCGTGAAGATCGCCGCCTAAGATTATTGGCCTTAAGGGACTGTTTCTCCACTACCAGGTCCATTGCAAATGAATGGTTTGCAGAACACGGAAGACCTATTGGCATGCGAAGTGTTTACCGACGAATGAGAAGTTTTGGCTTGTTTTCATACCGGCCACACTGGGTCTTCCCTTTAACTCGAGAACACCGACGTAATCGCCTTGAGTGGTGCAGACAACGGTCACTCTGGGATCAGGAGTGGAACAGTATTGTCTTTAGTGACGAGTCTCGATTTTGTTTAGGCATGCACGATGGTCGTGCCAGGGTTAGAAGGCGACGTGGTGAAAGGAGGAATCCACAGTTTTTTGTTGAAAGACATGTTCATCACACTGTTGGAGTTATGGTTTGGGGTGCTATAGCTTATGGTTCCAGGTCACCTTTAATCTTCATCAGAGGTAACATGAACGCGCAGTGTTATATCCACGAAGTTCTAGAACCCCATATTTTACCCTATCTAGACACCCTGGCAGATCCAACTTTCCAACAAGATAATGCCCGACCACATGTTGCAAGAGTCACAATAGACTTCTTTCAACATAATGATGTCACATTGTTACCATGGCCACCAAGATCTCCCGACTTATCCCCAATTGAGCACGTGTGGGATATGATGGGTAGGAGATTGCTCAATTTGCAACGTCCTCCTTTGACTCTAGAAGCACTTCGAGAGGAGTTGGTGGTTGCCTGGAATGAGATACCACAGGAGGACATTGACCACCTGATCAGAAGCATGCCTAGGCGCGTTGGAGAATGCGTAGCACCTCACGGTGTATCCACACATTATTAAAGGTCAAAGGGCTTTAAAGCAGTGCAATCATTTTGGAATTTTTATCATTTACTTATTATGCTTCATTAAGTACTTATACAAAATTTTATTAAAATAAAACCATTTAAACTGGGTGTTCGGATTTATATGTCACTTAGAGTAATATCATACTATCAGAGAGAAACCGTTTTTATATGAAGCAAATAAAAAGATCTGCTAAATTAGAATCGCCTGGAAAGTTGCCAAAAAAAGTCTGCTATAACTAATGTAGGGGTGGTGGCAGTTTTCACGCTTCTCGAGCCCTTCAGAGTTTTTCGTAAAAGTCCAATATTAGAACCTCTAGCAAAACATGTGTGTTCCAAGTTTCATTCAAACCGGACTGTGGGTTCTTAAAATATCTGAAAAGCAGTGATTTACAAAGAAAACTTTGATGCCCTCTATCGGACAAATCATTTTTGCATAGAATTTAATCACGTCCATTTATTTTGAATCTAAAAATACGCTAACTTCTATATCCACGGAATATTGGGATACCCTGTATAAACAGACACAATATCTCTGTCGTCTACTATATCTCTATGAACTTGCTGTGATATTTTTAGTATTTTCTCCTCTACACATTTTTTTACTATTTTGTATTCAATAACAAAACAAAAATAAACAAACTGCAAGTTTCAATAATATTGATGTCAGGTTTATATACTAAGTGACATATAAATCCGAACACCCAGTTTAAATGGTTTTATTTTAATAAAAGTTGGTGAATGTATTTATCTTACTGTAAATAACAAGTGAAACAATTTTCAGCCTTATCAGTTGGACATTCCGGTTTTTATACTGCTTTTTTTTAATTCACTAACGCTCTAAAAATGAATATTTCAGCCGCAGTAAAGAATCAACGTTGGCGGATTTTGGTTCTTGACATCCTTTACGATCGGTTACGATGCCTAGAGTACGGAGACCTGTACGATTTCGTCAACTTAGTGAGTTTGATAGGGGCCGTATAGTGGGACTTCGGGAAGCTGGACTTTCTTTTCGGGCAATTGCAGTTAGAGTGCAAAGAAGTGTAGACACTGTGGTTAGGTGTTGTCTGGCATGGCTTCGAGAAGGCCGTACGCAAAGAGCAAGGGGCACT